CTTATCGTCGACGAAGCTCTGCTGTGTATCTCCATTTTCTCCATTGACGCTGCCGCCATTCATGACAGTATCTCCGTTGGTGACACCGTTGGGTGCTTTCTCTTCGTCCGCCTGGGGTCGGTTCTCGGGTCGCATCGCCTGCATCAGCCGCGACAACAAAGAGCCGACAGAGAGTTTATCGGTCTCGGCAACCTCGTCGTCCATGTTGTCAATCGCACCACGAGCCTGATTGGGCGCCAACTGTTCGCGCGCACCCTGAGGCTTGTCGAGTGCCATGGCGCCATCCTCCTCTTGCCAGATCTCAGTGTAGTGCTTCTTGCCTCTCTTGGGCATGTGGAAAGGTGTGACGCGATCACCGCGCTCTCGAAGGAAGCCGAGGTCTTCTTCAGCAAAAGGCCGGAAGTAGGGTTCCATGTAGGTCGAGAAGGTGGAAAAGCTGATCTGGTTCGTGGGCTTGGCACTACTGAAATCCTTGTCGGGGGGATCGCCAGCGATGAGATCCGCCAGATCAGTCTTTGGGAAGACGGCGACGGAGAAGATTTCCTTCATCTCGTCCTCTGGCATGCCTGGGTGTGTCGGGCGAATTTCGTAGACGGTCGGATCGGGGAACGTGGAGGGATCGTCGCCGAAGGTGTGCGCAGCGGGTTGGGCTTTTTTGGGCGGCGCGCCCTCGTCTTCCGAACTCTCCTCCTCCTCCTCCTCCTCCTCCTCTTCGGCCTCTTCTTTTTTCTTCTTCTTCTCGTCGACTTCCATTGCTGATGGTGTTGCAGGCGCGACGGGTGACAGGGAAGAACTGGCCGAGTCGCGCGAAAGCTTTCGTGGTTTAGTGGATTCCCTAAGCGGGGATGATCGCTCTGTGGTAGCAGGCGAGGTCAGTACTCGAATTTAAATACGAGGAATCCAGGTTAGTCGTGCGGTGACGAGGTGAGCTTTCGGTGAGCATCCCATGCCCCACGAACAAACCAAGAAAAAGCGTGAAAGAGCACTAGACCGCACAGGGCCAAAGAAGGGTAGTGACCTACCGACTCCCCCTTCCTGGGGTGGTGCCAGGGTATCGGCCGCCTTTCTCTTCTTCTTGTTGGTCTTGCCCGTCTTCTTGCCGTCGCCCTCGGCCTTCGCGGCGGGTTCAGCGGGCTCGTCGACGTCAACGTATTGCTTGCGCGTGCTGGCTAATATGCGCATACCCCTATCGCAGAAGTTGCTTCGTCTGTCGATGGTTTCCTGCAGGCGCTGTAGGCGGGCAATCATGCCATCGAGACTCTTGGAGTCAGGCATGACGGCATTGGAGGCGCCTTGGTCTACGAGATCATCGTAGTTGAGGTTACGGAACTGCTCGACGCGTAGCTCGAGATACTCGGTGTCGACAGCTTCGATAGGGGGCAGGTTGGCGGAGGGCACGACGGAGCTCGGGGTCGTGTTGCGGCTGCGCTGTCGCATAGCACCGGGCCCGGCTTTCTTGCCGGTGCCCTTTTGGCTCGCAGCAGGCGGCATCGCGGGCAGCCTGTGATGGGCGCTCTCAGGTGCGGTCTGGCTTTTGATGAGGTTGAAGCTTGCGCGTCGTCCTTGTCAAGGTTTGAGATGAACCTGATATGTCGAAGTGAAGGTTGGGCCTTTGATGTCAAGCGTCAACTGAATGGCACTCGAGATCGCGCCGCCCTGTATCGGTAAGGTACGCCCAACCTGCTTACTGGATTGGTCACCGGTCGCGGAAGTATGGGTCGAATCGCCCGAGCTCGTTGCGCGCACCCTGGGGTTAAGGTACCCGCGGAAGTCTGGGGGAAGGTAGGTACATGTGGAAAGTGCTCCGTCAGCGCCAGAATCGGAAGCGCCTCTGTGAACCGGGTACCTTACCTAAGGAAAGCACAGGGACCACCAGGTAAGCTTTCGTGACTTTTACTTGCTCAGCTCCCATCTCACGAAACCGGCATCTTGCATATCAAAAGGCTTGGGATCTGGAGTACCCCCATCCTTGGGTCAATATAATATTGATGTCTGGCCATGACGTGTTTCCTCACCTTGCCATCTGCGTAAGCTACCTGAGGTATCGTTGTTGACCACTCTCGCAACGACATCGTCTTGATCACCCTTACTGCCGAAGCTTATCCGTACAGTAAAATACAATGCTCTATGATGACATTGGACAACATGAGTAAACGGCTACAGTTATTCAACGATGCTAATGTCACATTATGCCATTTAAAACAGCAACAGTACAAGAACTAACTACGATGGTGTGTTTATCAAGGGACATCACACAAACTTGAAAAAATGTGTAAATGAGGGTCATGTGCGGTTAGGTTTACAGGAAAGAATACACCTGCACGGAAATGGTTCCCTAACTTCCCTTTTCTTTAAGAGGTTGGCCATTTCGATGGAAAGGAAATCAGCAGACCTCGAAGGTTATGCTTGTATTACTTACTTGGATATGTTCTATTGAGAAAAGCGAACTACCTAGTCAAAGGCAAGTTCTTAACGAAGGTGCTCTTTACAGGTCGAGGGCGTCTCCCAGATCTGACTCTTTCCCACAATGTATACCGTGGACGAACCTACTTAGTGAATGAGGTCACTTTTGCCAAGAAGACCACCTTCATTCATCCTCAAGATGTATTTCGATAATATTTAAACTAGCTCTAAACTCGCTCTAGTAACGGCTCAATGTTCCGGGCCATAATTATTGTGCTTTCGTGCAGCCAGCACATGGCTTTGCGTCCAAACTGCCCCAAGAAGGACCGATTTCAGGTGTGATGGAACTCGTTCACCGTCTTTCGGTGTATAACTTTTATATAGGTGTACGTCATAAGAACCACTGCATAGGTGTACACCCGAAAGTTTTGAGTATTAGGGATGATACGCCAGTGAGCTTCTGAAAAGCAAATTCTAATGCTGCTGAAAAAGACCCCATTTGACCCAGGAATGAAGCAGTAACCACGAAGCCATAGTGTCGATAGGTGTACTGTGCGATACACAGACTTGACTGACGATTTATACAGTGTGTGCTTCGCTGGCCTCTGTCAAAATCCAAAAGAGAAATAACAATTTCACAGCTCGCACTCACCTTTACGGACAAAACTAGACATGGACAATTGATGCTGCTCATTCTATCCATCAGTCAAAAAATGCGATTTGAATTCATCATTACACTTTGGCTTATTCGATCACTAATAGCAGCATCAGAAATACCGCCTTGGAGCAGCGATATTTCTTGTCTTTGGAACCAGACGAAAACGCCTGCCCGTGGCCCAAGAACGCCGTAAGGGGAAGAGGACACAATTGAGTTGATAGGATTCAAGGCCACGGAATTGGGTTTACTCCTCAATTTGAGGAACATCAAGCGCTTCTCGCGAGTCCGGAAACAAACCAACGATGGCTGGCGTAGGCTTCCAATCGCCGAATGCTTCCGCAAATCGATTATCCCATCTGGTTGAGGTACTCGAAATTCCCCTTTTCATACCCTTCGCATGATTATCTTCGTAGCATTAAGCTCCACAAGAGATTAGGGACTCTCGCGGGATGGGAAACTCTCCTTCTTGTCGGTGAGCTCATGAGGAGCCGTCGATGGAGCCATGTGCTCTAGGGCGCTCTCCTCATTGGCATCGTATCCTTCTCACTCAACCCCGGACAATCTGTGGTCTACGCATATCGACGCACTACGTTACGGTTATGCATGGCAGCAAGCAATGTCCTAGTCTGACTCAAATGGACGATCTGTCGCCTATCAATTGAGTAGCTTCGAAGCCAACTCGGAAATCTGGCGGCCATTCATACGAACGAGCCACGTTGACATCTTGGCTTAAATCATCCGTACTGCGAAACTCACATGGTTGCGTCGTCAACTCGCCTGGCTTGACTCTGGGAAACCGTCATAGAAATTGGCCTCCTCTAGTTTCTGACAGAGTCAAAGTGATTTCTACGCACTTGGTACACAAAAGCCATTGTCTCTGATGGGAACACCGTAGCTTCGTCGCTGGCGAAGCATGGAAACCAAAGCAGAAGCGATGTCATTGTCCCCACGTACAAGCCAAACATCTCATGGGTACGGAAGCAAAAAGACTGGTGTGTCTCGCAGCCTCTCGTGCCATTGAACTAAGAGAGGATTGGTGCAGGCGTGTTGGCTCTGGCGATTCCCATTCCACGAGCACAAGAGGCTGATGTCCAGATGGTTTGACCATGTGCTCTGGCCATTGGTCGACACGACTTGGCCCGCAGGCGCTGGCATGGGCAACCCGTGTTCACCTCACCCACGCGGCCGCGCTAGGAGCTCGACAACGACCTGGCGGGGTTGGCTCAATTGAGAAGCTCTTGGTGGGGTTCTCTTCTTCAGGGTCCTAGGTCACCCAGGGTCTGAAGTCTCAACCGCGATCTCCTCCTGGACACTGCAGTCATGGTCTCACAGCGATTCGTTACTCGCTTCGAGAGCAACTCATGTAGATGCTACCTGGCAATCTACCATATTGTCGAACGCTGTTCAATGTACGCCATACAAGATCTCCGGTCGAGTGACCATCGGAATATAACGCAGTCATTCTGTATAGAAGTCTATATAGCGCTGGTGTCCTCTTGTGATGCGCAAACACTGTCTGCTGTTTCCCTTCCCTACCCCTTCAAAGTAAACACTGTCTTTAACAATTCAACTTGCCAAGAGCCCCGAAACCGCTTCAACACACCCTTCTCTTCGCCCAGAGCAATGAGAGAATACCATGGCTTCTCTTGGTGGTAACATTTTTCCCCTCGACCTTGATCTCAAGACTACATTTGCTGGACTAAGTGCAGTAGCCCTCAGCGGCCTGCTCTTTTCCAAGCTTCTTTCCAAGAATGATGCGGAAAGCCTAGAAGCACCCGGACTTTTCAGGTCTTTCCTGCTCTTCTTCTACTCCTGCTTCATCAAGCCACACAATGGCGACAAGAAGGGCAACCAGCAGGATGCCCTGGAGAGCTTCTACAAGAAGCAAGCCGGTGCATATGATGCTACCAGGAGGGTCCTTCTACAAGGCAGAGAGGATATGCTTGCGCTCGTTGCCGCACAGCTGAGGGCCAAAGGTCCCAAGAAGGGCAACAAGGCCAAGCGAGTCTGGGTTGATGTAAGTCGTCCTAGCAGCCACACTATGTCTTTCGAACCTCGACTGACAATGAATAGGTTGGTGGAGGAACAGGCTGGAACATTGAGGCTATGTCTAGCTTTGTCAACGTTCCCGAGTTCTTCACAAGCGTCTACCTAGTGGACTTCTCCCCTTCTCTATGCGAGGTCGCCCGACAGCGCTTCGAACGCCTTGGCTGGAACAATGTCAAGGTTGTTTGTGAGGACGCGAGGAAGTTCCGACTGGAAGATTATGAAAATGATCTCCCAAGTAATCGCGTCCCTCCTCGCTCGCCAGTCCTGAGCTACTTCTCTCAGAAGCGTGCCGAACATGGCGGCGCCGATCTCATCACCATGTCTTACAGCTTGTCCATGATCGTGAGTTATTCAAAGAAGCACTCTCTAGACTGGCTATAACTGACTGTCTGTCCAACAGCCCGACTACTACTCCGTTATCGAGTCGCTCACATCGCTTCTGTCTCCAGATGGTGTCATGGGAGTCGTTGACTTCTACGTCCAGTCCAAGACCGACTTCTCTTTCCGCAACTTCACTGCTGGGCTTGTTGGGCGTCACGTCAACTGGTTCTTGAGGACTTTTTGGCGCGCTTGGTTCGACCTTGATCGCGTTGGTCTCGAGGCTAGCCGCCGTGACTACCTCGAGTACAAATTTGGCAGTGTCCTGAACATCAACACCCGTAATTACAGTCTCGGCCACATTCCTTACTATATCTGGGTTGGATGCCACAAGAAGCCCTTTTCTTCCACCAGTCTGCCGCATGAGATCATTGAGAAGATCGATGCCCTTGCCACGGAGTCGCCCTACCTGATGCCTGCTAACGCGGGTGATGCTCTCACCCGCGCCATTGATCGATCAGCCCCTGAGATCCGTTCCAAGGCTTTCATGGCAGCCATCCAGAACTTGTCCGCAAGCCTACCACTGCCATCTTTCTTCTACCAGAACCACCACTGGCGCATTTACTACGACGATCAACTCCAGAAACACACCCAGTTCAACGATGAATACATCTACGCATTTACATGGGAAGATTCGAGAGTGGACGAGCACCTTCTGAAGCTCGGCTCTGACGATGTGGTCCTGGCAATCACCAGCGCCGGCGATAACATCCTCTCCTACGCAATGCAGAGCCCCGCCAGAATACACGCTGTCGACTTAAACCCTACTCAGAACCACCTCCTCGAGCTCAAGGTTGCGTCTTACACTGCCCTCCCCTACGAGGACTTTTGGAAGCTGTTCGGAGAGGGAAAGCACCCAGACTTCCGCTCGCTCCTCCTGAACAAGCTCTCCCCCCACCTCTCCAGCCGCGCATTCCAGTACTGGCTCAACAACGTCCACGTCTTCACCAACACAAAGGGCTACGGTCTCTACGACACCGGCGGCTCCCGCCACGCCATCCGCGTCTTCCGCTGGATCTCGCGTGTCTTTGGCTGCCGCGCCGCCGTCAAGGAGCTTCTCTCCACCAAAACTCTCAACGAGCAGCGCGAGGTCTGGCGCACAAAGATCCGCCCCGCCCTGCTGTCCAAGCTCGTCTGCAAGCTCGTCGTCAGCCAGGAGAGCTTTCTGTGGGCTGCCCTCGGCGTGCCCAAGAACCAGCTGGCCATGATCGAGAACGACCACGCCGAGAGCGAGGCCGTAAAGGGACCCTCCCCGACCGCCCGCAAGGTCCGCTCCCACGCCATCTGGCGCTACATGGTCGACACCCTGGACCCCGTGGCCGAGCAGACGCACATCGCCGCCAACAACCCGTACTACCACGTCTGCGTGACGGGCGACTTCACGAGGCAGTGCCACCCCGACTACCTCTCGGAAAAGGCCCACGCCAAGCTCTCGCGCGCAAACGCCTTTGACGGCCTGCGCATCCACACGGACGAGATTGACGAGGTCATCAACCGCATCACGCCCGGCACGCTGACCGTCGCCGTCATCATGGACAGCATGGACTGGTTCGACCCCGGCGCCCCGGCCGCGGCGGCGCAGATCATGAAGCTCAACCGCGCTCTCAAGATGGGCGGGCGGGTGCTGCTTCGCTCGTCGGCTCTGAACCCTTGGTATGTCAAGGTCTTTGAGGCCCACGGCTTCTCGCCCAAGAGGGTTGGGGCTCGTACGGACGGAGCCTGCATCGATCGTGTCAACATGTATGCGTCGTGCTGGATCAACACCAAGGTTGAAAACCTTCCGCCGCCGACCCCTGAGATGGATCACATAGGAGGTTCTGAGATCACCAGTTTCTCCCTCTAATTGTAGGAAAACTGTCCCCTGGGAAAGGTCTGGGACCGTGATGAGAGTGATGATTGACGAGTATGCTGAGTGGTATGAGTGCGGCCGTGTATTATGCGGCCGCTGGTTGGAAAGGATTGGCTCGAGATATGTGACCCGAAAATGATCTAGCGTAAAACAAAGCTCTTTAAAATTGATACTCATTGACCTTCACCGAGTGAGCGAGCTTCTGGTCTGAAGTTGGAGATTTCAACGTTAGGAGAACCTACTTCTCAGTGACTTTTCGTAAAGATACGTAAAAGTCTACGACAAGTCGCACCTCGTTACGAGGTCCAGGCTCCTGGAGGTTTCGCTGATGCACGCTATAAGAGACCTACCTAGATCTCTAGCAAATTGTCATCGCGGTTACTCGTTCAAAATATCTTCTCCATCGACCGTTCCCAAGCCAAAAATCCGATACTACCCACCACATGGCAGTGGTGTCATCTACCGAACATCGTACGCTTCATCCGTCTCGGAGAGACATATGTGAAGCCCTGTCGTCCTAACGCCGATTCACATTCAATGTCACTTGCAGAACTGCCAGGTTCATTGACAAAGAATCCAATTTTGCCTAGACTGGTGATTATACACTGGCCGTCCCAATTCTAAACCCTGGCGCCCCCTGAATCACACATACAGTAAGCCGACTTCAGCGCCATAACTCTGACACTGGTATTCTAGCATAACATCTTCACCTCCCCTGTCGCATCCTTGAGGCTCATCCGCTTTTAGCGATACGCACCCTCAGACATTATTCCCCAGTCAGCCCTGCTGCATGCCGCTAACAGGACAAACGACACTTCAACCTCTTTCTCTCCCAAACTAAGCCTTCCACAGACGCGCGACAGCCTCGGTGACACCGACGTCGCTGGTCTCGAACTCATACAAGCCGAGGCCGACCAGTGCTGTGACGACATTGAGTCCCCACATGGTCGCCTTGCGCGACTTGGGGTAGTGCTTGGTAGGGACGTAGTCGATGATGATGTTCTGGAAGCCGGTGTGGGAGTGGATGAGGATCATGGCGCAGAGGACGGCGTCGGTCGTCGGGTTCAGGGAGCCGGCGGCGAAGGGTGCGATGGTGATGGGGACGAGGCCGGCGGCGAGGAGGCGGTCGAAGGTCCAGTGGTAGGAGCCGTGGGCGGGACTCGGGGGAGGGACGGGGGCAGGGTCGTTCACTAGAGGTTATCACGGGTTAGGATGTCTTGCTTTTTTTCAAAGTTTTGACTTTCACATGGGTTTTCGTACCTCCACCCTGGATGACCTCTGCAGCAGGAAGTTAGCAATAGTTCAATTGTATCTTTATAGCAGGCAATGGAATTGCGACGTACGAGGCCCGACGGGCAACAGATCCCTCTTGGCGGTTGTGTGGAAGGCGGCGACTCTTGGCGAGTTCTTGACGAAGGCGGAACGGATCGGGGTGGCCTGGGCCATGCGGGCCGCCGTAGCGGTTTGCCGGAGAAGAGCAGGGCGCACAATCGAGGCCATGGTGATCGCTGGTAGTTCACGGGCGGTTCAATTGGTATTCGCAGATGGGAGGGAGGCGGAATGTCGTTGTTTGGAGGCTTGGAGGTTGAGAAGGAGTGCTAGGTTCAAAGTGCCGGAATCAATGATGTCCACTTAGCCGAGGGTAGGCACAAGGACCCGGATCGCGAAGACGGGCGTCTGACATTGGAAGGTTTGTGATTGGCTGAGGGTGCTCCGATGGCTCCACGTGATTTTGGTCGACGAAGAAAGTCGGCAGGGATCGGCCATCGGGCTAACGTACATGCGCGACAAGTGTTATCGGCATCGCGATAAGGGAAATTTTTGGAGCTCCAGTCGGAGTGGGATCAGTTGCGCGACAGCTCTGAGTGACCTGTGTCAGTCATTGTGGTTGCTGGCAGGGTTGATTTTCAACATCCTCAAACTCCCGTCCAGTGTTGAGCTTTTCTTAGCCGCTCTTTTTTCAATGCATTTAAAAGTATAGACATTGTAATCACCATCACACATACTCCAGCATGTCGTCAACATTGGTGGCCCGCCTCCCCGAATTACGGCGGAACATCTGCGTTCGATGCGCCGCGCTTCCAGTAGCCCATTTCAGACAAAACCAAGTGAGATGGGTAGCGCAAAAGGTCGTGGAGAAGCGCAAGACAGGAGAGGAGGAGTGGGCAAGACGTGCCACGGCAATTGAGCAGGGAGAAGTCCAAAATATCTGGGATGTGTTTGAGGAGCGAGGTTACGTCAAGGACGTCGCAGGGTGAGTTGAGGCGGCTGTCGCTGCTCAAGACAATGATGCTGATCGGACCGAACCCAAAGGCGCACACCACAGGTTAAAGAACTCTTGCGGACCAAACGAATAGGCGCATACGTCGGCGTCGATCCCACAGCGGCGTCCCTCCACGTCGGCCACCTGCTCCCCTTTATGCCCCTTTTCTGGATGTACCTCAACGGGTACACGGCTGTGTCACTGGTCGGAGGCGCGACGGGCAGGATAGGCGATCCGACGGACCGGTTGAAGACCCGCGAGGTCATGGCGAACAGCGAGGTCTCGATGAACATCACAAAAATCCACTACCAGCTGAAGAAGATTTGGGCAAACGTGGAGGCGTTGGGGCGCAAGTACGGCCACGAGGCGGACTGGGCAGCCAAGAGGCATCTCGTGAACAACAACATGTGGTGGCAAAGTCTTCCATTGTACGATGTCATGAAGAGACTGGGCCGATTCATGCGGATAGGGCCCATGCTCGGCCGCGATACGTGAGTTCTCACAGAAGAAACCCGAGTTTTAGTCGCTAACCCCCTGTCTAGAGTCAAGAACAAGATGGAAAAGGGCGACGGCATGTCCCTCGCAGAATTCACCTACCCTTTGATGCAAGGATGGGACTTTTGGCACCTGTACTCCAAGCTCGGCGTCCAGATGCAAATCGGAGGCTCCGACCAGTTTGGCAACATCGTGACGGGCATCGAGGCCGTCAAGACGATCCGCGCGTCCGAGGAGAACCCCAACATGCGCATGCCCGAGGGCTGGCGCGACGACCCCATCGGCTTCACGGTGCCCCTCCTGACGGACAGCGCGGGCACCAAGTTCGGAAAGAGCGCCGGCAACGCCGTCTGGCTCGACCCCTTTATGACGAGCGCCTTTGACCTCTATGGCTACTTCACCAGGCGCTCCGACGCCGAGGTCGAGAAGCTCCTCAAGCTCTTCACCTTTTTGCCCACCACCAGCATCGAGAAGCTCATGAATGACCACGCAAAGAATCCGCCCGCGCGTGTCGCGCAGCACACCCTCGCCTTCGAGGTCCTCTCCCTCGTCCACGGCGCCGACGTCGCCATCAGGGAGCAGCAGCAGCACCAGTTCATGTACAGCAAGGGATCCGGCACCCAATCCGCCGGCGCCTCGCCCGAGGCAGCAGCGGCGGGACAACAAGGCACCGTCGCCCCCTACAAGGCCGTGGAAGGCCACCCGACGACCCTCAACAACGCGCCCAAGATGGACATGCAGCTCCCCGAAAACCTCATCTACAACCAAGGCATTGCCCGCATCCTCTTCGCGGCGGGTCTCGCGCCCTCCATCAGCGAGGGTCACCGCATCGCCCGCGCCCAGGGCGCCTACGTCGCCGCCGCGCCCGGCAAGGATATGCGCGGCCTCGTACCCGGAAACCTCGACTGGACGCCCGTCAAGCTCTGGTACCCGCAGGACGTGCCCAAGTTCCTCATTGACGGCCGTGTGCTCATCATCCGCAAGGGCAAGCACAACGTCCGCATCATCGAGGTCGTCAGCGACAAGGAGTGGCAGGACAGCGGCAAGGCGTACCCTGGCGAGCCCTTCAAGGGAAAGACGCGCGTGCTGATGCAGCAGCTCAAGGAGCTGGCTGCGGCCGAGGGCCGCAAGATATCGCGCCGCGAGCTGGAGCAGATGGTCAGGGAGAAGTTGGCTGCCGAGGAGGAGGAGGTCACCGTTGCCAATAACCCGGATATCAAGTTCCCCAAGAAGAGCGAGAGACAGCAGGCGTTTGAGGAGGGCAAGACGCGGGAGTAAAAGGACAGGCTACCACAGTCCTCGTCTTTTACAAGTTTGATGTATCACACCGATACTATGTGCAAATATCTGTACAATGACCTGTACACTACCAAAAACTAGAACAATGTAAAACCACCATGCTCATGACAACATTTCTCTCTCTCTCTCCTCTTCCCTCCTTCTTGCTTCCCAAAGAGACACCCTCAACGATAAAACACAGTCAAGTCCCCGCTCGGCACCGGCAAAGCCTTAAGCTTCTCCATAATCTCCCCATCCGTCAGATTCTTCTCCGTAATAATCTGATCAAACGAGTGACACCCGTCCGTATACACCTGCAGCGCATCCCCCCCTCCACCAGCCTTCGGTCTTGCCTGGCCGGTCGCCAGCGCCGCAAGGTACTGTTTGGACACGACATACTTGTGCACGCGATACAAGCACCCCTTGATAACACCAAACTGCACCAACCTCCTCACATCCACGTACCTCAACACATCAAACCCAGCCTCCTGGTGCGCGCGCAACCACTCCATCACACTCTTCCCCACGACAAAACTCGTCATGAGCTTAATCAGCATGAAATTGCTCACGCGCTGCCGGGCGTGGATACACACGTACGCAGCGCACTCGTCCACGATCCCATCCCTGTCCGCGACAAAGTCGTGGATCCCGGGGCGCGGCGCGTAGCAGCTCCCAAAGAAGAACATGTCGAGCAGCAGGACGGTGTCGTAATACAACAAATGGCGCAGCGCCAGCGTGGCGAGGTCGAGCGAGACGTCGGCGAGCCAGGCGATGCGGCGGACGTCGTTTACGCCGTCAATGTGCGCGACGACTTTCTGCATCGTCAGGTCCCAGGTCTGGTCGACGATTTCGGCGAATTTCATCTTTGCGACGGGGACGTGCCAGCCGCGGACCTGGGGCGGGCTGGCGTGGTGCGGGAAGAGCTTCATGTTGATTGTGTTTGCGTCGTCTGGGCTCCATGGTCAGCCGTGTCTCTGCCTAGGAGACTGGCGATGCCCAAAAGAGTAGAGGAAAAGGGACAGAGAGAGTAGAACTTACCAACGGGAATCATGCACTCGCCATAGTTATTCAGATCCTCCTTGACAATCTCCAACAAACTCTCAATCGGCCTCCTCTCACTCATCATACCAGCCGCTCCTCCCCCTCCTGCTCCTGCTCCTGCTCCTGCACCACCGCCCTCCTGGCTCAAATACTCATTCTGCTTCTCCATCTCCTTAAACGTGACCGCCAACCGCCTCACAACGGGCTCATACTGCGCCAAATCCGCGTCGGCGTCCAATACCAGACCAAAGTTGAAGATGAACTCGTTGCGCTGGTACTTTTGGTGCGGGATCAGCACGGGGAACCCCAGCACCGCGTATTTGCCCTCCGGGTCCTGCACCGTCATGTACCGGTTGAAAAAGGCCTTGCGCGGGACAATATACTCCTGCATCACCTCCCAGTCGATGAGCGGCGGCTTCATCGCCGTCGTCGTGGTCCCGGGGGATGGGGTGGTGATGCAGCCCGGCGGCGACTGGGCCACGATATGGGGACCTGAACGTGGTGGTCAGTCGGAATACCAGCCATTTGGAATGAGTCGCATTGCGCATAGAGCAAAAAAAAAGAAGACATACCCTCCTTGGGAAAGAACCTAGCATAGAAGATTCCTTGAATCATGTTTGCTACATCTTATTTGAACAAGCTGTTGTGGAAGGGGCTGATAGATTCAAGCCATGAACCACGGGTTGTGGTTGGTACCTAGTGAGTTGAGTTTCTTGGTCTGTAGACGCTACAGCGCCGATTTCTGGGCCGGCACCTTGCACCTTAATGGCCCGGGGCCGATCTAAGCCGCATCGCGCCGGAGCTTGGGAACGACCCTTCAATCAAGCCACCACTCTTGAATACAGCGCGATACAAGACGTTTGCTTGACCAGTAGTGATGGACACTCCCCATGCTTCTGATTTTATCCATGGCAAAGCTTCACACGGGTTCTTTTGTCACAAGAAACTCTGAAAAATTGGGTCCTGAACTTTCATAAACATCATGCCTGGTCAATTTCCCCTTCGCCTCGGAAACTGCCAGAACCAAAGTGCATGGCAACTAGGTATGGTATGTACTTTCCTCCGTATCCTGTTCACAGGCTATTAAGTCATACGTCCTCTTGAGACGCTTCCTGCTACTATCCTGCTCTCTCTCTCTCTCTCTCCCCCCTGTCATGCATTTCAAGTCATAATCAACCACTCAGGAGATGCTCAATAGCGCCTTGCACGCTGCCACCGCTGCGACGGAGAGCGGCTACGTTCCTATCAAAGTCAAAAAAGCCCATATCATTGAGCTGGCGCAGTTGCTCGGCATAACGCTCCTCAGGAGGGCGGTTGTCTGCGGGAGCCGGAGAGCCTCCACCGGCGCCGCCGCCTGCACCGAGACCCCACATGCTCATCATTTGCTGCATCATCTCTGGGTTGATCTGACCAAAGGGAGAAGCACCAAAGGGGTTTGCAGGTGCCTGGCCTTGTCCTTGGCCCTGAGCTTGGCCCTGAGCTGCGTAAGGAGGAGGGGCGAACAGAGCAGCAAAGGGGTTGGCCGGGGGTGGACTCGATGTCGCGTTTGCGCCCGTGCCTGTTGTTCCAGTAGCTCCGGCACCGGCTGTGGTCTGGGTATTATCACCAATCGCCGCGCCAGCACCAGGAGCTGCGCCTTGGGCACCGGGTTGCTGAGGCGCAAACGGACTACCAGGGCCAAAGAGCGCACTGAGATCACCCAGTCCCTCCATCCCCATACCGCCAGCGCCGCCAGCGCCGCCAGCGCCACCGCCGAAGCCCGGGAATCCCGCGGGGAAGCCGAATGGGTTGGGGGGTTGACCCGTGTTGCCGCCGGCGGCCGCAGCCTCCGCAGGAGTGGTGTCGGTGGCCCCAGGTGCAGGGAAGGCAGCATTGCCACCTCCGCCAGCCATGTTGCGCTGCATTCTCATGACATTGCGAAGCATGTCTGGGTTGGTCATCATCTGGCGCATGAAGGGTGACTGGATAATCTCTCGCGCGTTGGGGACATTGCGAAGGTGTGGGTTGCTCTGTATCATGTAGTTGATGAAGTCGGGGTTGTCGAGGGCGGCGTTCATGGTCTGGAGCATGGAGGGATCGGAAAGCATCTGGGCCAACTGGTCGTCGGATGGCGGGGCACCCATCTAGAAACGTAAGATTAGCTTATGCCACGCAAGACTCGCCGCAGTACCGTGAGAAACTTACTCCTCCGTCAGCTCCAAATGTCTCGCGACTAGGCAAGTTGATGTGTCCGGCGTATCTGGCTCCGGTGAGGCCAGCGAGGATGTTGTTCGCAGTGCCAGCGGCCATGTTGGAGGGCACAGCGGGTGCGGCAGGCGTGGAGGCTGAAGCTGCGGGCTGAGGAGCTGGGTTGCTGGCTGCGCTTTTGACCATGTGGATGGTGTTATTGGGCTTGATCTTGTAGGTGGCGAGTGTGTCGTCGTTCTTCATTACGCGACCAGAGTAGATAAGACGCTGGCGCTCGACGGGAACATTCTCGAAGTCCTCGCCGGCCAATTTGGTCTTGAGGTCGAGTACGGAGGCAGACTCAGACATGGTGATGGTGTGATTGCTGTCCTGGCCCGTCTTCACCTTGAAGGTGACCTGGGCATCGGCGGTGCCCTCTGCGTTGTCGGCCATGACCTCGTGTGATGCGGGTGCGGGTGCGGGTGCGTGGGCGCGATCGGTGGAGGTGCTGGGTAGTAAGGCAATGCTTGGTTGTGTACCTAGTATATGACGATGGCTTGGTCTCTGGAAGGCCTGAGAATGGCTCGGAGGAGTGGAGGAGTGGAGGAGAGGCAAAGACGTGATGTGTTGAAGGGAGAGAAAGAAGTTGTTGGGAATATGTGGACAAGACGACCGAATGCGAGGTCAAGCTGGGGCAAAGTGGAAGTCAGTTAGGCAGGTAGAATAAGGTAGGTGGCCGGAGGGGAGCTGCGCAGGATTGGGTGTTTGTGTCGTTGGTGACGGTAGGTGGGCTCCAATGATGGCGTCGGGGAGGGGCAGCAGCCAGCAGCCAGCAGCAGCACTGGAGGCGGCGATGAGGTGCCCGGATGGAAGCAAGCATGGGCCAGTTCCACGCGGTGCGGCGGGTCGGCCTTGGGTACGCAATGGAGCGGGAGAGTGGGATACAGTTAGCGCTGGGCCGTGCTCGCTGAGGGTGCTGTCGCTGTGCAGTATCGGGTACTTTAGGTGGTGACTCGTGGTCCTGGCAGCCTGGGCTCAAGGATGGGAGTCCACGGCAGGTACGAAGTATTACCTCTCGAACGGAGTAGGTCAAATTAGGTACCTTTTGCCGCAGCGCGCTAACGCCGGTGGGAGCGGAAGGTGCAACAGACAAGGGGTGCTCAGCTTAGGTCACAGTTGACGGCGCTGTCAATCAAACTCGACGTCTCTGCTTGAGGTGGTGACCAGCAACTACAAAGTGGCACTCTACTATCTCTGACATCAAAGACGGAGGAATGATTCTATTGGAGAAGCTTCATGCTCGCCTTCAATGATTGACGAAGCCGTATAGAAAAATTAGACGCCCGGTGAATCGAATTCCATGTCCCTGACTTCCCACGCAGGAGGAAGCGACTACCTCGCACCCTGGCACGCCTGAACTCCGACAACCCCAGCTTGGGAGTAGCCTCAGTCACAACCACAGTCATCTCTTCCATCGTCGTCCACCGACTTCTACCTCGAATTTGCGATTACAATACAATTTAGCGCCAACCCACGTACGACCACGCTCGTTTCCCTCTGAGATCCTCTGAGAGAATTTTCGAATTGGAATAGTCTTTTGATCTCGTGAACACTAAACCACACTGACCCTCGAGAATTGGAGCACCATCTCATTCAACTGGACCTTGACAAGTGTGAATGCATCGATAACAACTAAGGTGGTGAGCAGCGCAGAGAGAAATCCGACCTTTATCAGATGTGCAAAGCATCAGCCACTACCTTATTCGGCCAGTTGATCAATTAAAGTCTAGAGCCATCGACACGCCACAGCTGTAGCGAAAATGACGACAGCAGCTAATGTCGGGGGCTGCATCCCTCTGATTGCCCAAGATCATCTAGGTATCTACCGACCTTATTCTGTAGCGAGGAGCCTCTTGATCACAGCGCGCTTGGGCCATGTCTCTCTCCTCGCAAGCTCCCGTCGCTCACCGAACCCCCTCCACATCCCCCGGAATTTACACACCGAGAGTGCCCCAAATCCAGCCAACGAGGGGCCGTAGAAGTTGCCTCGGCTCCTCCCCTCCTCGGCGTCTCCAAGACCCCCGGTCCGGGGTAGCAACACGTAGAGAAGATCGAGACTAACGAAAGCTCATACCCTCAATCTTAGATTCATACAAGCTCAATATATTCATCTTCCATCTCATCCGGTTCATACAGGAGTCTTTATTACACACCATCGTCGTCCAGTTTTACTTCATATCCTAGCCTTCAATTAATCTCAATCAAGTATCTTACTTACCTACCTTAGACGGCCAGTTACAATGCGCGGCATTCAGCTCAAGGAATATGTCAAGGTGAGCTTCATCAGCGTTCACGAACCACTCTCACGAAATGAGCACCCAATCTGATGCTTCAAATAGTCTCCCAAGGAGCTCCGCGTGACGGACCTCCCAGACCCCGTCCCCAAGAAGGATGACGAGTACCTCATCCAAGTCCACGCCACGGCAGCCAATTTTTTCGACATTCTCCAAATCCAAGGGAAATACCAAACTCAACCTCGTGCGGCCTTCCCTCTTCAAAAGCTCACTGCCCACAACAGAGGACATCCGAGTCCAAGAAATACTAACGGGACATAACAAACCAGCCTTCCCCTGGACATCGGGCTGCGAATTCGCAGGCATCGTCCTCAAAGCCCCCTCCTCAAACGCAAAATACCCCGTCGGCGCCCGCGTCTTCGGCGCCACCCAAGGCGCCTTCGCCTCGCAGTGCGTCGCCCGCGAAAAGGAGCTCCTCGCCATCCCGGACGGCCAGTCCTACACCGAGGCCGCCGGCCTCTTCATCACCGCGCCCACCTCCTACGGCGCCCTCGTCGTCCGCGCCGGCGTGAAACCGGGCGACATCGTCCTCGTCCACGCCGCCGCGGGAGGCGTCGGCCTCGCCGCTGTACAAGTCGCAAAGGCCTTTGGCGCCACCGTCATCGCCACGGCCTCGACCCCGCGCAAGCTCGACGTCGCCAAGGCCTTTGGCGCCGACCACGTCGTCGACTACCGCGAGGCCGACTGGCCCGCCAAAGTGAAGGCCCTCACCCCGGGTGGCCGCGGCGTCGACATCGTCTACGACCCCGTCGGCATGGTCGACGCCAGCACCAAGTGCACGGCGTGGAACGGCCGCATCCTCATCATCGGCTTCGCGGCGGGCAAGATTGAGAAGGTGGCCATGAACAAGGTGCTCCTCAAGAACATCAGCCTTGTCGGCATCTTTTGGGGCCAGTACGGCGTCAAGGAGAAAGAGACCGTCGTCGAGGTGTGGAAGGGCATCATGAAGCTCGTCGCCGAGGGGAAGCTGCGCGGCACGGAGTTCACCGACGAGGAGTTTGTCGGGCTCGAGCGCATTCCAGATGCACTTATTGCTTTGGGGAGTCGGGGGACTTGGGGTAAGGTCGTTGTCAAGATCCCGCAGGACGGTCAGAGCAAGTTGTAGAAAGCAAAGTTGTTGCGAGACGGTTGGTTTTTTTGGCGAATAGAGCGAGGCCTATCTAGATGACATTTTGGATCAGTCACATATGCAAGTGTTCAATGTCGTTCACAACTCTGTAGACAGGCACTTCGAATGTCGTGCTTCCAATTGTTCTTGTATTCACATTTGCCATTGCCAGGAGATGCGCCAAGAGCCCGTCTCTCTCTCTCTCTCTCTCTCTCTCTCTCTCTCTCTCTCTCTCTCTCTCTCTCTCTCTCTCTCTCTCTTTCTCTCTATCTGACAACCTCATCATGAAATCATAATCATTCCCATGTTTTCCCGTCTATTACAGCTCAGTCCAACGACCAGCTCATGCAAACGCAACTGCTGCACTCGCTCCCTATGCGCCCGTGATCTGCGTCAACGACCAAAACTTCTGCAAAATATCCTTGTCCACATTGGCAGCCCACTCTTGCTCAAACTGCTGCTCGCCACCAGACCGCTGTACGACATCCTGCAGCCTCTCCTTGACGAACCTCATGGCGTTGATCGTGTGCATGGGGTCCTTGGCGCCAAACTCCGTCTCCTTGATGCTCTTCGGCGTATCGTAGTCCGTGGACTCGAGCTCGCCCCAGATGAGCGAGTCGGTGCCGTCCGTCGTGCCGTCCTGGAGCTCGGCAATGGTGCCCACCCACAGCGTGAAGTAGTCTTGCAACTTGCTCAGTGTGAGGTTCTGCATGGGCTGTGGGAGCTCCAGCAGGCGCGCCAGGGCGAGGAGGGACAGCTTCTGCCTAGGAAGATGATCCAGCCCGTCGAGGTGGGAGAACCACTCGCCGCTGAGCCAGGCCCAGACCTGTTCGAGGGGCCCAAAGGATGTGAGCATTGTGACGAAAAGTGTTGGGTCGGCGATGAGGAGTCGCGAGAGAAGTGCGAAGTAGTCGCGTTCTGTTATCGTATTGAGCTTGCTAACCTTCCTGTTCGGTCCGGTCGTCTGGTGGGCTTCCCAAGCATCGTGGAGAGCCTCCATAATCTTCTTCAAGAAACCGATTTCGAGAAGATCCTGCATAATCACCTGGGTTCCACCGAGCTCGGAGGCAGCCCGGATGAGGTATTCAATGCACACAGTGCCCAGTCTGACCTGTTCTCGGCTCCTGGAATCGAGAACGCCTGACAGGGCGATTAAGAATGGACGCCGTAGTCTATCTTCCATCACAGCTTGTGTACCGAGTAGGATGTAGGACTCAACCACGGACAATGCCTGGGCAGCAGTCTCCGTCTGATACTCCAAGAGAGGAAGTGATAATTCCGCGATGCTCATGATATCGGCGGATAAAGGTGGGTTGCTTTGCATGAGAACAGAGTTCCATAGCTCCAATGCCTCGTCAATCAGGTACGTGTGCAGGTCGGAGCCCGGTTTAGCTGCCTCTGACAACAACGGGACCATCAAATGGTGATACCTCTGAGAGTCGCTACCCATGGACATAACCAGCGCAGCAAAGATAGCGATGATGGCTTGCTTGATCATGTACTCCTCCGTTCCAGAGTTTTCCCAGATACTGGGCAGGCTTGACATGATAAAGTCTGCAAACTGAGAGACATAGTTCTCCAGTCTCGTGACCAAGATCCGCATAGACTCCAGCACGGCGAGCTTGGTCTCGTCCACGTCGACATTTTGGATGAGCTGAAGGAGCTCGTTGAGCACATCGGCTGCATAGGGGAGGAAAGCCTCTGCGCTGAAGGCAAGCTCGTCCACGATCCACCGCAGCTGACGCGCGGCTGTGATCCTGACAACGATATCGTTGTTCGGGTCCGCGGGGTTGAGGAAGTGGCGGAACATTTCGTAGATGAGCGGTCTACTGTTGTCGGCAATCTTGACCGTAACCCATTGGCTGACCATGATCGCGATACGTCTGCGGAGAACCTTGTACAGAGGGCCTTGTTGCTGCGCATCTTGAAGGACAGTTGAGACGAGGAGGCTGTCAAAGTCGAAGGCGTTCATGACGTTGGGCGCAGCCAAACCCATAGCCGTATACACTGCTTCCTTCGTAGCGATATCTGACTGTGAGTTTGATGCGGTTTGGAAGTAAGAAAGTAGAGGTGGTATCATAAGATCCTTGAAGTTGACAAGCAAGTCAAGGAAGAGCTTCTCAGCGCAGGGGCGGACTTCCCATTCGTAGGCGTTGCCCTCACTCTGTTCCTGTTGTTCCCATTCCTCGGGGTCTTCCTCCCATGCGTCGAGATCGGCCTTCCGGAAGACGAAGAGATGTGTGATGATGATGTTTGCCATTTGGACCACGAAATCATCCTTGAGGAGCTCTTGTTTGATGAGCGCAACAGCATCGTTTTCGTCCTTCTTAGCCTCGGCACTTCGAAACTTGAACGTTTGCTTGGGATAGAATGCAATCCTCAAGCATGCTCTCATCAGCAGCAGGCCCCTTAGCGCAAGTCTTTCAAGCAAGGGTCCCTCGACCTTCGACTTTGACTCTGACGGGCCCGAGTCACCGGAAGACTGCCGAATGCCACCTGACTTTTCAAAAACTTCGGCAAACTTTGCTACGAGATCCCAGTAGGCGTGGACCAAGGGTAAAGAATTCGGTAGAACGGCGAAACTGGCGGGATGCGCCTCGGACATATCGATATGCAGCTTTGTAAACTGTAAGAGATGCTTTCCTACCGTATCTTGGTAAGGTGCCGGAACCGGGGAGTCGTGGCTCACAAAGCCAAGGAATTGGCCAAAGTGATTTTGAGACACGGTCCAAAACTGTTCGACCGTCTTGTCGTTGTGAGGAGCCTCATAGCCTACCACGAGCAACCGTCGAATGGTTTTGAGAGAGATGAGACTGTTGAGCATAGCCACATCGGCCGCATTCTCCTCGCCACGACCACTTGTGAGATAATCAACCCAGACTGCTGACTTTTCGGTATAAATCTCTCCTAACAAGTACACCATTTCGGGGGTGACAGACTGGAGGGCGGTTTGGGATCTTCTGAGACGAGCGGTACCAAGCTCCTTCACAACGCGAAGGAGGATCTGCAGAGCACCGTAGAGATGTTGCTGGTTGCCATTCTTTGAGGACCTGACTAGGCCAATGATTTGCGAGAGCGCCTCCGGCCAGTGCTGCGGGTAGTCAATCCTAATGACTTTGGCGGTGACAAGGGAGTTGTGCAGCGAAAGTCCCGTCTCCTCCTCTTCGAGCGTGCCCTGAAACAAGCGTTGCCGGACGACATTCTTCTCTTCCGGGTCCAGACCGCCTTTGACGTGGGGGAGCAGGCGCCAGTACTTGTCGATGCCGTTCTTGAGCTGAATGACGGCTAGGAATCGAAGCTCGTGAGGAAGGGACTTGTCGAGGAAAACAGTCTAGAGACAGGATGTTAGGGAGTTGCATTACGACTCTATGGAAAAGGGCAGATTACATACCTGAAGTGAAGAGAAATATCCCTTCTCCGTCTCCCATGATGTCAGCTGTTGCCCAGCGGCCTGTCTGCGCGCATAGTCGGCCGAAGTCGCGGATTCGAGAACGCGGCAGAGCTCCTGCAGGCTGAGGGGGTTGGCATCGCCGGGCACCTCGATCGCGAAGCTCATGTTGTGATCTTCTTGGTGGGCGACCAAGGCGTCGATACCGCAGTCGTTTCGGTCCCAAAGGAAGTTCGGGGAGTTGTTGTCGAGAGGCTGATTTCTCGTATTCGAGAAGGCGGCGTGAGGCACGAAGAAGCGGTTGGAAATTTAGAGCCAGGCCCTCTTATCGCTGTGGCGGGGCACTGGCGTAGAGGGCCGTCCATCGCGGGGTATCTTAGTGTGGCGTTTGAGGAGCATGGGCGCTGTTCGCTGTTGGGAAAGCGCAGGATGTCACTCTAAGCGCAGGATGTCACTCTAAGCGCCCTGACGTACTCTCTCTCAGGAGTGACGACGACGCCGCCACCCTACCTTACAAGGCGAAATAAGGTTACCTGCACATTGGCATCCCACATGGCCAAGAGAAGGAGCATGTGCTTCTCACAATGCAACTACATTCACAACAAAATATCAACTTGAATTTGTACCACAAGCTTTGTTTTGGCTGTTGCATGAAATACGACTTGCTTCTGTTCGTGGCCAGGGCAAGATGACTCTTAGACCGAGACGAGGTAAACTCAAACAGTACAGGCTCGTTGTGAAATACAGTTTGAAAGTAAGCGCTGTAATAAACCAACACGGGAACCAACCTCGAACAATCCGATCACTACCAAAGTTTTTGATCCTCTTACTAACGTGTAAGCTGGGCCTCTACGGGGAAAGCCCTCGATGGAGTAGCTGTAATCCCACCGGCCTCATCATCTCACAATCTCATGTTCATGATTCCAGCACTCCAGTTGAACATCTCTTCCACTGTTCTTGGCTCAGGAAACGGAAACATTCCAGAATCTGGAGCTACCCCAGATGTTGACATGTCGGTTATGAAAGCGTCCATGCATGAATCCAACTGAGTGATGTTATCACGATTGCTGGTTGCATTGAGCTCTCTCAACACATCGCTCACTTCATTGCCAATGCTTCTTGCGATGGGCCACATCTCTCCGGCAACCTTGAGAACGCCGAGCAAGAGATCAAGCTTTTCGCGTAGAGCCGGCGAATCGGATCCTCCGTATATTCTCGCATCAAGCAGTGCGAGAGCAGCTCTTCTCAATCCGATGATACACGCCGGGCTGTACCGGGCTGGTGGTAGCGAGAAGTTGAAGAGACCAATGGTTGAGAGGCCTGCTTGGAGGGCGGTTGAACATTCCAGCCACGGGTAAGGCGAGCCGGAGCATCGCGGCACCCGAGGGAAGGTCATGTCGCGCGGTTTGAAGAGCGGGCCAAGTGTGAGAAGGTCCCGAATGCCAAACCCTGACGCTTCCATGGGTAGTTGCATCTTGATCCTCAAGCTGTCTTTCGATTAGTATGACGAAGCCTTGACCTACTTTATCAACGAAGCAGACTCACCTATGCGCGTAGGCCATCGCGTGGAACAAAACCATATCAACTGCGCCTCCCGAGTCTACCAACTGTTGTTTCCATTTAGGTAGACTGATGAGCCAATTGACTAATCTGGAGTCGGCTCTATCGATGGTGTTAGACACTAGTGCTGGTGGCAGTGCTGGCATAGGGAGTATCAACTCTGTGCTCAACCGGCACAGATCGATGAGATACGTCCATGATGAATAGCTCTTTTCATCCATAGGATCCCTTGCGTTGTACTTCTTCAGGGACAGCGGTTGTGGAATCTCCTGGTCTTTGTCAGTACCAATATTGGATTGATGTTGATAGTGACTTACCCCTGACTGATATTCCCACTCTTCACAAGGAAGTTCAGTCGTTGCAACAATGCCGGACAACATGAAAGTGGGCGAGTCCTCGCGCATCGCTCGCATGTTGCCTTGCCAGTACAGCGCCCAGTAGGTTCTACGTGAGCTCTCTGCGACGAAAGGATCAGATGCGGCACCTGCAAACGACTTGTCTTGCATGCCAAGATCGAGAGCCATCTGAGTCGCAGCGTCCATCCAACCTGCACTCAAGTCCAATCGACCCTCGCCAAAAGCGGCAACACTGAGAACGAGAAGGCCTTGTACTGTCCAACTAGTCATCGGCAAGCTGTCACTTGCGAGACTGAATGCTTTCTCTCGAAGTTCCTCCGACGAGACAGCATTTGAGAAGAGTGATCCCACATAAGTGATACAGCTTGTGAGAAAATGGAAAGGCCCAGGATTCGATCGTATCCGGCTCAATAGCTGGTTCCTGGGTAGGAGCCAGGGATGGGTGTCGTGGAAGTTGGCGAAGTAGAGATCGAAGAGGAGCGAAGTCGGTGACGCGATATTCAAGTCGGGAAGATGAGAGCTCCGGGCCAGAGACCATCCACAGGGTAGCTTGTCGACTACATTGATTGGGATATCGAAGCTCGCCACCTCGGGAGATGGGAAGGAGACTGGAGTGTCCGGTGAGATGGAGGGAGGCCCAATAGGATCGTTGATGAGGCTGCGTTTCTTTGCATCCCGAATCCCTCGGCGTGACTTTGCGTAGTAGCAGATCTTCTCCTCTAAGCGGCATCTTAGGCAGGTTGGCAAGGCTGAGTCACACTTGACGTGCTTTGATCGACAGGGCACACAGGCAAGAGACGCTCTGATGGTGGCTTTGGATTTGGCAGCTCCAGCACGTTGCTGCGTATCCCCCGGGCTATTGGCTTCCCTTGGGCTGGTGTTTGGTGTGAGCTCCATCGTGAGCCGTAATGAGCGTGGTGTGACGTCGTGATTGGTTGTGTAGTAGGACCTGATCTTCTTCCATATGCCAGATTACTTCTCTGTGTTCAGATCGTCCAAGGAAGCCGCTGCTGGTGTTTATGTAAATCTGTGCCCCGACAACTGACGATGGACGAACCCTTAACTGTCTCTGCCCCTGTCGATAAACCGGATGCCTCAATGTTACGTTCACATCTTGACCAACCCAATCTGGGCAAGCAAGACATCGACTGGGGAAAAGGATGGGTGAAGAGAGTTGACATAACAGAAAATGGTTCCGTAGTTCTCAATACGCGCTGGTTGTCCGGGCCGCCCGCCACTTTGCTATGCTCCGAGCCTCTTCGGATACTGATCTTGGGGCTGGAGCCACAAAAAAGCGCGGTGAGTGAGTGACTCTGGACTGATAAGTCAAAATAGAAGCATCTTGGTAAGCACCGCTGTGAGAGGTTAGGTATGGGCCGGGTTACGTCGAAGCCTTATTGAGCCATGCCTGCGTCCCAGTCGATTGGACAGAGGATGTTCAGGGTGTACACTTTTTCCGAATTAGGAATGCCTTCATGCAGGTTTAGGGTTCCTCGCAAGTCTGCTGCACGATGTCTAGTCTGAGCCTCCCGCTCTACCCGTCTGTCGACTTAAGGACCGGTGTATGCAGTTGCCCCGATATTGACTCCGGCCGGAGATAGACACTCACTGCATCTGAAGCAGGTTTGGGTAGGCAGCAATAGTTGATGGAAGCTTCTAGTGAAAGGTACGAGGTCGGCCTCTGCTCTCTACTCTCTAGACCTAGGATGCCCACAGACAGATTGACTTCGTCAAGATAGGCGAATTCCTCGTCGACTGTAGCCTTTGACAATCGAGCTTTCAAGGCATGTGCCGTACGGTCAAGTCGAGCCCGGGACGCTGTGCATACTGAGCTTGAGCGGGCTTTTCGTTGCCGAGTAACGTTACCATCAACGTCATGTGATGAAGGGTTCAAACACAGCCAAACCATTATGTGCGTCATTGGCCTCGCTCAACTCCGGCGGTCAGATTAGCTCCGCGTCTGAGAGATGGGCTTGAACATAACAATGCAAAGTAATATCAAGCCACTGGAGACAACAGGGCAAGAATCTGACAAGCGAAGAAAGCCCTGAGAATGCCTTGCAAGCCCCTCAGATTTGTAGAGCCGAGAAGACGGGTTGTTAGCGCGAGACAACATAAGCTTGACCTGATGCTGCAGCTGGGTGGCCGGACGTTGACGAATCGAATGCAAGATTCCCTTCTTCTCTCCCTCTTGTCACACCCCAAAGCTGTAATGGTAATGGCCTCTGCGGGTAAGGCAAGGGTCACCTCCCCGTCTTAGCACAGTGCTATAGAATGGCGCATGGCGTGTCGGGTATGTCCGTTCGTGTTCATGTCGACAACCATCAGCTACCTTAGGTATTATGGTAGAGAAGCGGAGACTGTCTGCGGTAGTTTGGCGGCAAGGGTTGGTGGTTGAGGCGCGTTCATCTCAAGCACTCACGCACTTAACCTCCCGCTCTCTGAGGTTGTACAGGGGTCCAGGTTGGTGACACACCGTCTGATGTAAGCCTGTCTTCTGCATCGCGTCTGCAGAGCAAACAGCATGACAGAGATGTATAGTGGTTTGTAAGACCACAACCAACTTGCTCAAAGTAGAGTTGCTTTGGTAAGAAAAGTCGGGGTTCAGTGGTCGTACAAGAAAGACAGGGGACCTGTAATGGCACGGGCACCCCGGTACGTCAGATGCTCCAGCCTCCGCCGGCCGATTCTCGGCTCAGGCCACTTATGGCTCAGGTAATAATTCTCCAGGCCCCAGCCCGGCCGCGGCAGGCAGGGAACTCGGGGACTTGGGTAGCGGGCTTGGTGGTAGCCGATGCAGGTGGGCATAGCGGACCTCGGCTTTTCCTCCACTTCCCACTCACCCACTCTCGAAGTGCCAGACCTCACCTTATCATCAGCCACTTGGGGGAAAGGAGGTGTGATGCATGGCAATTTGCACCTCACCACCACCTTCCACCACCCAATGCCGCCCAGATGACATCGATCAACTTTGCGCAAGCGCAGCAGCGCCTGGCAGCACGACGACAAGCCCGCGAAGCCGATAACGCAGCACGACTCGCCGCCCAGCGCGACACCTCACGCGCCCGCGCCCAAATTGATCGTTTGCCGTTCCCTTTCAGTCGCCTCGGTTCAGCATGGGACTCGATATCAACGCAAGACGGCACTCGCCCTGCCTTTAGAGTCGGACAAGTCGACGCAGAATTACTAGATGACGAATTGTTGGAGTTGCTCCGCGGCCAGGTTGGCGATGCACTGAAGTACTTCGCTGGTGGCCACCTGAAAGACGACTGGTCTGCCGAGATCCTTCTTGCACTCCGCGCCATCCTGTTCAAGTTAACGGTCTGGGACAACGACGCGACATATGGAGCAGCTCTACAAAACCTGAAATATACGGATGCGCGCAAAGATGGCTCAGTGCTTGTTGCGCCATCTAGGTGGCAGAAGTCACTTTACGGATTAGCCACCGTATTTGGGAAATATGGCTGGGAGAAGTGGGAGAACTGGTTACTCGAAAACGACGATGGTTACAGCAACGAGCCCAATCCTCGAATCCAAAGGCTGTCAAGGTTGACATCCCGGATAACGACACTCCACGCTGGAGCAGCCTTTGTTTCGTTTCTCGTCTTCTTACTGCAGGGAAGATATCGCACCCTCCTCGATAGAGTCTTACGAATGCGCCTGGCTCCACCAACCAGTCAGGTTAGCCGAGAGGTCTCTTTTGAGTACCTCAACCGACAACTTGTTTGGCACGCCTTCACGGAGTTTCTGCTATTCATACTGCCGCTTGTCGGCATCAACCGGTGGAGGAGGTGGATTTCAAGGACGTGGCGCAAGACGAAAGAGATCATCACAACAAAGGGAGACGAAGATAAGTCGGCCAATGGCGAATTGGGATTCTTGCCCGAACGCACATGCGCCATTTGCTATCAGGACCAGAACGCCCTTGCGAGCACAGAAACCGAGATCATGGCAGCAGCCGCATCAAGTGGTGTTATCGGCTCATCCCAAACCGATATCACCAACCCTTACGAGACCATTCCTTGCGGCTGCATCTACTGCTTTGTCTGCATTGCAACTCGTCTAGAGCGCGAAGAGGGTGAGGGTTGGACGTGTCTCAAGTGTGGTGAGCTTGTCAAGGAGTGCAAGCCATGGAGCGGCGACGTTTTAGAGCCACCAAAGAAGTCACCAACTGCCAAAGTCGTGGCCTTTTTAGATGACGCCAAGGATGCCCAGAGTGAAGCCGGCACGGAGGGCAACGCTGACAGCGAAGAGGGCGAAGGCATGAACAGCACCGAGTTTATTGATGTTTCTCAAGATAGAGACTATTCTGACGACACGGATACTGGCGACTCAGAAGGATTTGAGGAGACAATGGACCAGGACGAGTAGAGACGTCATATACCATATCATCACGTTGTACAATATTGCAAGACTTAGCACGAGCATGACGAGGTTTTCTACTTTTTTAGTAGCGTCTTAATGACCCGAGGACAGCACACGCAATATGCAAGGAGTTGGTCAGTCCTTAGAGATACATATGGATATACGAGAGTAATCCAATACCCATGGAGTTCCGAATGCAATGCTTTGCCTTCTTAACATCGCATTACAAGCTCATCTCCCTGGTTCCGTTCGGTATGCGAGTGAGTGATGAATCCGTCCTCCCCCTACGCCATCGTCCGGGGCCGGGGGCGCATCGGGGGCAGAACGTGGCCGAGGTCCCCACTGCCAACGCACTCCATGCTCCGCCCAATGCGCGCTAGCGCCCGCTGCACAAGGACGTTGGATCCGCCATGCCCACCGAGATTTCAGGGACCGTCCCAGGTACATGGCGGCCTTAGCGTCATAAGCGCACTGAAATCCCAATTTACACTGGACCGTTGTCCGGGATTCCTTCACCTCACACCACGAGCTTTCGACGCCCAAACACACCTTCGAGATCCGCGTCGTGCATTTGTGTAATTCAGTGCAGCGTTCTCGAGACAGCAGCGTATTCCAGAGTTCGGGTTGCAACCACCTCTCACCAAAGATCATAGAAGCGCGTTGAAACGAGGTTCCAAACCAAGAAAAAGCACACCACAAGTCTTTCCCGCAAGCCGAAGAAACAAAACAACAACACCACACCCCAAATGTCGCAAAGATAGGAGACCTACCTTACCTACCGAACCTCACAAATCCAAGCGATGCCGAGCTTCTTCCAATTCACCCAAGGCAACGAGTCCCGCACCCGCCTCACGAGCGACGCCTCCCCTCTGCTGGGCCGTTTCCGCGCCGTGCCCCCGCGATCCGACGTCCCCGGCCGCCGCCGCCGCTCCAGCACCCTCGGCTTGTTCACGTCTAATAACCGCGGGAGCGTATACGTTGGCTACGGCGCGCTTCTGTCTGCCTCGGGGCTCGAGAACCATGATAATGACGCTGCTAGGGGCGGCGACTGGGAGGAGTTGGGCACGTGGGCGCGCACCTGGCGCAAGATCTCCAACGTCTGGGTCGAACCGAAGCAGAGTGCCGTCAAGGGCGTTGTCGACGTGTGGTGGAGTCGATATGGAGTGTTGGTGTTGATGCCTGCAGTACTGGTATGTTGGTAACTTGGTACCCTTCAAAACGGGGTGGATCGAAGATTGGAGGTCATTGGGACTAACACGGGAGGGAAACCTAGGCTATTGCATGGTGCGCGATACCGTTTCCAAAGTACTCCTTTCCTGGCGAGGACGACGATGATCGAAGTGATCCAGTGCCAGGGTCTGGACGTAAGATACCTGGCCACGGAGAAGCAAGAGTACAGATCAACTTTTGGTTCTTTCTCTTCGTGTACTACGGTTTCTACAACATCACGGCCCTGATATGGATCACCAAGGTCTTTAACTTGTACAGCTTGAACTGGTATGTTGGACCCCTTTCACGCTCCTCAGGAGCGCTTATACAAAGTTACTTACACAAACATAGGTGGCCGCAGTCTTTTGGCTTTCCTATCACCATGTCCATCATCGCCCTAATCTCAATAGCAGTCCCGATCCCCGTCTACCTGGTCCCAGAGACGCGCTTCCTCACCGCCCACAACACGGCCTGGATCTCCTGGACCTTCATCGTCATGGCTATGCCGGTCGCCATCGCCTTCTGCATCCTCCTCACCTCCCAGCGCCACCTGAAGCTGCGCCAGTCACTCTCCGAGACCCAACGCATCTTCACCACGTCCTGGTGGACGGGCGAGGCCGAAGGGAGCATTCCCCGTCGCGATAACCGCCGGCGGCTGAATCTCAGCAGCGACTCCTTCGACCCGGACGCGACCCTCCAGATCGCCGCCGAGCAGTCTCGCAACATGGGCGGCGTTAGGATGCGCCGTAGGTGGCTGCCCGCCAGCTTCGTCCGCTTCATCTGGTTCTGCCTGGCCCTTTTCGTCGGGCTCATGGCGTATGTGATAGGAGAGGCCTACGCCGAGATTTACTTGCGGACGCTGCCTCACAACAACTTGGAGACCATTGTGTACGTCTATAGCTGGATCATCACGGTGCACCTTCTTGACGCTCTCACGGGCTGGCTTCTGGGTATCCGCGAGGGCGAACGAGTGGGGAGCTACCCCCTGAGCTGGGTCTTCAAACTGTGAGTACTCCTTGTCTGGGCAAAAAGTGATTCAACATTGACTAACACCGATCATCCAGATACTTCATGCTCACGTACCAAACCTACGTCCGCGCTCTATACGCGCGCCTCCGCTCCCCAGAGCAGTTCATCTACCTCCAAATCCTCTCGAGCAGCACCCTCATCATCCTCACCCCGCTCACAATGTCTCGCCTCTACCACCGCATCACCGTCGCCCTCAACTTCACGGACCAGTCCTACGCCTCGTACCAAAAAGTCTGCACCCGCAACGTCTTCATCCGCTTCCTCGCCGAGAACGTCTCCATGGCCGCCTTCCTCGGCAGCGTGCTGGTCTTGCATTTCGGACCCAATAAGGACGTTTACCCGTACTTTGCCTTTGACGGCAAGGTGACGGGCGACGACTACGACTACGACTTTCGACTCACCTTTTGGGCCTCGTCCGTCACCTGGGCCTGCGAGCTTGTCGCCTCTGTCATCGTCCGCGGGCTCATTAGCTGGTTCTTTGGCGTCGACGTCGGTATGGAGGGCAAGCTCGACCTCGCTGTGTGGCCGGAGCTGCTCCCGACGAGCGTGGCTGTCATGTTCCACGTTCTGCAAAACATGTTCTTCTCCATTATTCGGCTGCAATTCCACTGATGGAAAGGGGGAGAACAAAAGAAGCATTCGAATGCAACTCCCTCGACTCGACCTCGTCCCGGGTATCCGCTGGCTCTCTCTTCGGCTCATACATGCCGATGCCACCCTATCTTATCACCATCGCATCAAACTGTCTTCTCCCCGTTCATAAGGCGTTATCAAAGGTTATTGAGCGGTTTCATCTTCTCCGGGCAAGATAGGCCCCCTTGTACCTGGGTGTGTAACACGTCATCCTGGGTTACTCTTTTCTCTTTCAGCATCAAGCGATAAGAACGAACAGGTTTACGAACTTTTCTTTCTGGATGGACAACGAACAACTTTTTTCTTTCCTTTTCTCTTTCGCATAAGCATACATGTCGTTCTCGTTTTTTCCAGTTCTTGCCGCGTCTGCTTCTTGGCTATTGGGTGCGGAAAGGACAAAGAACGAAAGAAAGATACCCCCCTTCCCCTTTTTTTAATACCCCCATGCTCGCTCATGTTTTCCACGTTTCATTAGATTAGAGATACCAAACTCATAAACTCTCCCTGCTTGGCATGATTGTTACGAAAGATTCAATTCAACTTTTTTTTTTTTTGGGGGGCGGATGAAGAGAGAGATTCAATGTTAATACGTAGAGAAGTAATGAAGATCATGTTAGACGACTTGATAGGAATCACTTTGGTGACTTGACATGAACCCCCTTGGCAAATGCACATCATCTGCAGAAAGACATCTGCTGTCTTTACAGAGTAAGGTGCCTGCCTAATCGTTGTAAAGTCGGGAAAAGAGAAAACGTGATACTGCCAGAGCACCTCAGTCGCGCAGTCTGCTTCTTGTCTCTCAAGGTTGTCTGGGAATTTTACTGGCGCCGTTGCAAACTGAAATCGGCCACCTGCATGATGCCGTCCTACCACCACCACCTCTCCTCTCCTCTCCTCTCCTTTCCGCCTTTGAGCCATGACACGCGGTTGACACCCTCTTCATCCCGAGCACGGCGACTCGGTCAAGCTCTGGTGCGGCTCGCCCGTGCCCACTTACAAGAGTGAAGCCGCTGAGCGGTCCCTGAAGAGTGTTGATCCATGGAACCCGAGCGCGAGCTTCATTCCACTTTGGGTAGGGCCGGCCACGACGGTGTAAGCGGACGATGACATTGCCTGACTGGCAGGCAGCACGAGGAAAGGGGGCAAAGCAAAAAACATCATCAGCGCGCAGAACTGGTCCATGGGCAGCCGCTTTCCCCGGACGAGTTGGAATGGGGGCTGATTGCAGCCGACCAACACCTATCATAGATACCAATGCCACCTGGCACGAATAGGACATCGACCCGGATAGTCTCTGGCTGCATCTTCCCCCCAAAAAGTTGAGCGACGTCAGCAAATAGTTACCCACAGTTGCATATTTTTTCTTAGGACCTTTTCCTTCTTTCTTCAGATCATGGAGCCAATGATACCAGACGCAGACAGTAGCGGTGAGGATTAGGTCGCTCGATGGTCGGCCATGGAAGACTGACTCATTGGCACCGACTACCCGCTAGCGGCGCCGGAGGTACGGCATCATCAAGCTTCTCCAAGGCCAAACGGAAAGAAGAGAGGCCGTCAATAAGGCGTCCGGTTAAGAAAACCTGCTCCCGGGAGGTTGCGTCGACGGGTCCGTTTCCCCCTGTGCCGGAGCGTTTTGGACGCCGCTAATGCACCCAATCTTGGTCGCCGCTGGCCCCGGACATGTGAAGCTTCCCGTCTCTTATTGCGGCTACGATATTCCCCGGCTCGCATAGGAAGTGCTTCCACAGCTTGTTTCCGACTCATAGTGTTGGTGTGTTGCAAGCAATTCACGATGACTCCCGGCTGACCGAGCGAATCCATTGGTGTTTCGTTGGGAAAGGCAATTATCCTTCGGCATTCTGCGGAGGCACCTAAGTTCCAAAGGGCTTAAGGAGAGAACGCTGCCTGGCAAGGACAACAAGGTACAGCGGCTGGCATCTCCGTTCGAGCCGCCCGATGAAATCGAGTCCCACCGTCCGTGGGGAGGCCGCGTCTCGTCCTTGGCTCCAAGGGGGCCCGATGGTAAATCGATGACAAAAAAGATGTTGGTTTCGGCCACTCAGCAGAAGCGCCAGGGGTGGCACTGCTTAAAAGTGTCTGGCGGAATGGCTTCCGACCTGGGATGGGACGCTACATGTCTGTGCATGTATTGTGGTTATAGGCAGTGATTTCTTTGGATGTTATAAGGTAGTTTACCACTTGGCATCTATATCGGAATCGGACGACTGTAGGATGGGCTGCTAGTGTATTGATGCGGTGGAGAATACGGTAGCAGCGTTTGCGATACCGACCTCATCGACCAGGTACACTGTTCACAAGCTTTTTCCCAAGCTTGGGCGAAAAGACGGATGAAGATCTTCAGAAGCTGATGGAGGGAAGATGCAAGCTCGAGTTCCAGACTGGGCCATCAGTGACATGCTGGGAATCGGAAAGGAAAGTTCCAGGATAACGGGCGGCTGGGCGGAAATGATCGGATAAGATGGTCTCGAAACATTCGGACGGAATCTGATGGGGTTGCCAAGAAGATGGACCCGTCCATGACAGAACCGAGTCCTTCGCATGTCCTAGTATAGACAGACATAGGTAAACGGATACCTTGGTTCTATGTATTGGTTCACTGAGGTGTCGAGTCTTGTTTGGCAGGATTCGTGCATGGTCGACATTATGGTGTGGTAGTGGGATGAGTCGGCGGCTGCTGGGAGCTCAATATGCTGGCGCTTGAGTTCAACGGGTTATCCCAAGTGAGACGGCTCGTCGCCTGTCGAGGGCGCGGGGGCACAGGTCGTTCACAGGGGATCTTTGGAGTGTGATTCGACGGCCACCCTGGCCGCGGCCGTGACTCAATGCGAAGTGATAGCAGAATATTGCGGCGGTGGTCTGTCAGTCTCTCGGAACGTTTTTGGATCGATGGGAATACCTAGTGGAGGGGCGAGACCTCTCGACGTAATGGGTGGGGTGGAAGTTGATAATTGACGGAATGACAGAGCGGCAGGACCCCTATTGCTGCTGATGGCCGAAGACCGTATGTGAACGAGGAAGCATGTTGCCTGTCAGACAGCTACCGGACAAGTGGGCTGTTAGATGTAAGCCCTCAACATATGGAAGCAATAAGTAAGTACAGATACAAGTATGGGTGCAGGCGTAGCACGTAGGAGTAGTCCTGAACATCTGCCGTAGTAGCTTGATCGTTCCGGTTTGGCCCAGGTTTGAGCATTGATGGACCTGAGCAAAATGATCTTTCGAGCAGCCGTATAATTGTGCTCATACGGATATGGCAGGTAACAATGTTTCGACTGCCGTACAGACATAGGTACATGGAGTTGTGGCTGGAGAGGATGGAAATCGGTGGTCCAAGGACCACAGCCAAGACATCGGTTTGACTTTGTCATGTCTGTACTCAATGATTGGCTTTGCGGGAAGAGAGTAATGCATGGGCCGAATGCATGGGCCGAATGCATCTAGAAGCAAAATAGGAGCAGAGATGGTTTGTTCTACCTCAGAAAGTGGGTGGAGCAGATTGCAGCCATGGTGTTCGTACCTTGGGTTAAAGTAATTATTGGTAACAACCTAACACAGTGACTACTTGCCTCGAGACCAAATGGAGCAGGAAGGAGCCCATCAGCTTTGAGGTAGGTAGTTCCCGCTTGCCATGAATGAGGATAATCTTGTAAGGCAGGTACCCAAGAGACCTTGGCCTGAGGAGATAGGCAAGAACGTTCCTACCTTGTGCAAGTCAACACCTCACGATTGCTACCGATGATGTACTTTCCCTACTTATCTCGCGGTGTCTCGGCCTTGTCTTCTGTTTCACTGTTCTCCGCTGTAGTTCCGCTGCGTGAGGTGCGTCTCAACCTCCTTTGCCATATCGTCAGCTCTTCTGCCCCACATCACCACAGTCGTGCTTCCTGTTATACACCCTTGACATGTTCACCCAAACCACAGTAATTCGGATGTTTGAAACGAGCTGAGATGTTTCCGGTATCATCGGGTCTTCAGGAGTCCAGAACTGTAGCGGTGGGGGCCGTCAAGGGAGCCGTCATACTTCCTTACTTCAAGCTTCAATAACCAACCTGGAAGCTAGCATAATAATTCACACCGAAATCGACACCAGTGCAATTCTCGTCGCCGCAATATCGCTATGGCGCTTGCGGTCTTTACAACCGAGCCGTTGACAGCCCTCCGGGTTATTCGAACAGCCTACCGTGCCTGCTCTGCTTCGCGCTATCCGTACGGGGATTGCAGTGATGAAATAGCACGGCATGTTTGTACCACCTACACGTGCATGCAGGACACTGCACCACATTCGCCATTCATCGCTGCGCTCCTCCTCATCGGTGTCGGACAGGGAAAAGACAAGGGCCCTGGTTCGAGGCTAAATGTCCTCTGGTTCTGGTACTCCGTACTTCGTCCCTCAGAGCAAACCACTTTCACAACGAAAGTTCATGTCGTCGACCTGCAGCCTACCTAGGCAGGTTTCCCTGCGGCGCTTGACGAAGCTGCACCACCGAAAACCAGCTCACACCCTTCAGGCGGTGACATGATTACTATGCGCACCGGGCCCACGTTCGGTCGCTTCTCTCGACGAGGGAAGAGGCCACAGCAAGAAGGAGAAGACAAGGGAATCGGCTATCGCTAATTCACAACTCGGATGATAGTGTGCCATGCAACATCCAGAGGCTTCCTTGCGTTTGTGCTGAGCTGCCTGGCGAGGGTGAGACAGAGACAGCTTGTGTCACGGTCCCTTTCTCGGAGGTGGTGGCATGGTGGGGTGCTGCTTCTTCGCTCCCTGGTCCGTTCGTCCACGGTCCAAGGTCCCCTGCCTTCGGATATGGAGGGGTCGTTGCTGCGATGGAGGGGCAATTTTGGCTGAAAGACATCCCACATCCCACCTGCACCGTTGCCGGCTTACCATTTGCTATTACAGCCAGATACGATATCGCGCGACCTGAGAGACGAGAAACAGCCCAGAAAGGAATCAAGCGTTTCCAAGAACCTTTTGGCCGTTTATCTGCGGATCCCACGGCACCTCTCTATCTCCGGCTCAACGTGAAATCTCATGAGCCATATGTTTCAATACAATGGGCTTCCCAAGTTGGGCGTCAATGAAAGGGCAGAGAGAGAGCATGGAAAGGCAGGGCTCGGGAGAGACAAAGGAAAAGCAAAGTTAATGGAGGCTCGCCATCCTATCTAGGCATATCCCGAAGCGCCTTAAATGAGCTTTTCCTATCAAGCCTTGGATCAGCTTGGCCATGTACCCTCATCGCTGTCATTTTCGCGACGGACCACTCTTGGACAAGTTGGAATCGACCTGCCCACTTCGCACCACACGTAGTGACACCCTACCCGTATCACAACTCTCCACTTTGCTAATCGATGGCGTGCGTTCACTCTCACCACTCTCCGGAGTCTACGCTACCTAGTAGATTTTTTCTCTCCCTTATTTATCTCTTCCCGCCTCTGCTGCTCCGTACCTTCACGACCCCTGGACATACATAGTTATTACTCTGTACCTATTGACCTTTCTGCACGCCGTCTGCCAGCCTGCTTTCGTGATTTCATGCCTTGTCTCACTCTCCACCCCCGGCGAGCCGAGCTGGACTAGCCTGCCATTCTCTTTCCCACACTCTTTTCTCACACACCTCAGTTCAGTCCCGACGGGTACACACACACACACACACACTGGACACACGCACACCTCCTCACCCCTCCATAACCCCTCGGTCAGAATAAGGAACCGGTACCTAGTAACTCCGTAGTCTTAGCAGCTCCAATACAATCTCCACGTACCCTCAGCACCTTGTCTACCTTGCCTACCTTGCCAACGTGCCAACCTAACCTTACCGTCGTTTTTACCACCTGCCGCTTGTTCACGTCCCACACCCCTCCTCTCTCGCTCACACTCAGTCTATTCTCCGGGATCCGACCCCAAAAGTTTCTTCTGCCAACCTAGATACAGACTCATATCATTACTTTCCAACCCGCCCAGAAGACCTTCTTAACCCGCCTGTTCCTCCCTCCTCCTCTCTTCACAATGTCCTCCGAACAACTCCCCCTCTCAAACGACGCCTCTGCGGCTACAATCAACCCTTTGGCCGCCCATCCCGTCCACCCTCAAGATGCCCAGGGACGACAGCCCGCCGCCGCCTCCGCCGCCCCCTCCGAACTCGCCAGTGGGAAGGTGAAGCTCACGGGCGCTCTGCGTCACTTTGCCGATTTCCCCATCAAGGGCATCGACTTTGTCGACATCATGCCCCTCTTCCTCGACCCCACCGTTCACCAGACTCTCGGCGACGCCCTTGAGTTGCAGGTCAAGGAGGGTTTCCCGACTCTTCCCGACGTGATTGTCGGTCTCGACGCCCGTGGTTTCCTTTTCGGCCCCGGCATGGCTCTCCGTCTCGGCACCGGCTTCGCTCCTGTGCGCAAGCAGGGCAAGCTGCCCGGCCCGTGCGTTACCGCCGAGTACCAGAAGGAGTACGGCTCCGACTTCTTCCAGATGCAGCAGGATGCTATCAAGCCTGGCCAGAAGGTTCTGGTCGTCGACGACATCATTGCTACTGGTTAGTTGCATGTTCTGTGCTGCAATGCGCACCTTTCCTCCAACGATGCATTCCACAGGTCCACTAACACGAAGCAGGTGGTTCCGCGAAGGCTGCGGCCGACCTCATCAAGCAGCTCGGCGGCGAGATCGTCGGCTACCTCTTCATCTTGGAGATTCCCGGCCTGAACGGCCGTGAGAAGCTCGGCGACACCAAGACCGTCATCCTCCTCGAAGACGCATAAAGTACACTACGGGAGTGAGCCACATGGGCCTTGCATACAAGCCCGGTGATCAGCACATATTTTTGATGGGCGGGCTGTTGTCTCCGATTCAACTTGGCACGGCCTCAGCTCTCGAAAGTACATAGATACCTGCCGTGGGATGATTGGCCGTGATGCCAACCGAGGTATCAAGGTCAACGAAACGTGGTCGTTTTCCTTTGAACATGATCTACCTCGGTCCCTTTACACAAGGACACGCGCGAAAGGGTGACATCGCGCCGGCGTTTTGGGTTACAAAAAGTGGGATGGCAAACTGATTGGAGAGATGACACATATAGACGATATGAGATGAAAAAAGACTCGGACTCGAATCCGCAGTCGACGGGCGCGTTCGAGTTCTTAACAACACGAGCGCCCTTGAATATAATGATGAGCAAACACCAGCATCGATCTCGCCAATGTGTCCCAAGACTTTAGCCTCGAAGTCGCTGATAGGTACTCTTGAAGGTGCATTCTCATCCGGATGCTTGACATGCATGTCTGAGACATTGCGGCAGCCATTTCGCGGGGTCGTATAAGTCGAGGTGGATTCGTCCGGATCAGGAGGAACTGTAGGTTTGTGCAGCAACTCATGCAAGCTAGACTGGAAAGATGAGAGCGACACCAGGAAGCTTTGTGAGTCACATCGAAATTGTAACAGCTGCTAGAAATTTTGGTGATGGCATCACCTACCTCGCCTCTAGTATCCCGATACACTTGAATGGATGGTCAGGAAAGAGGTTCAGAGCAGGACTTTTACCCACCCGACTTCATTCCAAGATCCCGTATCTCTCTTACACTATTCACAGTAGCTCAATAAGGCATTTCATATCATCTTTCCAGGCCAAGGAAGGCTTGTTCGAGATTTTGAGTTCCATTGCTAGTACCTACATGAATGCGGGCAGCAAGAGGAGCGGGGTGTTGAGGAACCAGACCATTCCACGGATCGTCAACCCAGATCTACAAAGCACAATACAACACAACCACTACGACTTTGACAAGCTCCAACCAGCTCACAGTTTAAGCAACAAACAAAAGAGCGGGACGAAGGCGCCACCAAAAGAGAGAAAAAACAGGCGTGCTGATCCATGATGTCACACAACCTGTAGAACCGCAACCCCTCAATTTCTTATAGGTAGGTACAGTCGTCGGGATGACCCCACTGCATCCTAACACGCGAGAACGGCAGCTAGGTAGACGGGCACGAGCGGGTAAGTCTCCCATGTTTCTAGACATGTTTGGGATCGTACTTGTCTATCACCGAATTAGGATAGCTGTCTCGTTGGGGGGGCACCACGGCATGCATTCCACGGAAAGGGCGCAAGGGGTCGCTAAGCGGTTGCTGAGTAGCATTAATAAGCTGTCTTGAACTCTCGGACGAACGACGTTCAATGGAGGCGGGGTTGCTTGCAGTTTATAAGCCACGGGACGGGACATCTACCTCTTCATGTTTGTAGACCTTTTACATCATCTTACTGCTCTTCAACATATCGAATCCTTGTCATCACGTAGATATTGCTGAATTCACGAGACTTGCCACATGGCTCTCAAAATCTTTCTGTAAGCAGCCTCATGGTGGTGATGCTCTCACAAAAGTCCCATAGCTAATCTACATCTCAGGACGGGCGTTACCGGTACGAATTAGATTTGTTGTTATCTCTAACATGCAATTCGCGATGCCAATGACTTCATTTGATCTTCTTTTCTAACACACATGATCAGGCTATATCGGCGGCGACGCCTTTTATGCTCTCTACGAGAAGCACCCGGAATACGAGTACGCCGTCCTCGTGCGCAATGAAGAGCGCGCCGCTCCCGTGAAGAAGGCGTATCCCAAGGTCCGCATTGTACTCGGCGGCCTGGAGGACGCGAGTGTCATTGAAAAGGAGGCGGCCGCTGCTGATGTTGTCATTCGTATGTTGCCATCCGTTTCAAGCTCCCCTCTTTCAAGATCTCTTTCCATGAAAGTGTCGAGGATTGGAGCGCAGAGATGAGATGAGATGAGATGCTAACGATGAGGGGCCAGACACCGCTGGGTCTGCTGACGATGAACCCTCTGCAAAGGCCATCGCAAAGGGGCTGGCAGAGGGACACACGCCTGAGAAGCCGGGATTTTGGCTTCATATCTCAGGCACCGGTATCCTCCAATGGGTGAGAACCCCCCCTCCCCTTGTCTTTAATCTATAGAGAAGAATGTAGAACTTACACCAGAGGTTATCCCCCCCCCCCCCCCCCAGTACGACATGAGAAACAAACGCTATGGCGAGGCCCCCCTCCCAGACCAAGACTACCACGACATCCGCGACATTGACCGCCTCCTCTCCCTGCCCGACGACGCCATCCACCGCGACATTGACAAGATTGTCCTCGGCAGCAACTCCTCCAGCGTCCGCACCGCCATCCTCGGCCCGCCCACAATCTACGGCCGCGGCCGCGGACCCACGAACCAGCGCTCGATCCAGGTGCCCTCCCTCGCGCAGGCGACGCTGGAAAAGGGGTTTGCCCCCATCGTGGCACCGGGCAAAGCCGAGTGGGATAATGTCCACGTGCACGACCTCTCACGGCTCTTCGTCACCCTCGTGGAGGCGACGCAGGATACGTCCAAGAATGCCGATCCGGAGATTCTGGGGTCGCGGGCGTATTACTTTGTCGAGAGCGGGACGCACGCGTGGCGCGAGGTTGCGGGGTGGGTTGCGGAGGAGGCGCACAGGCAAGGGTATCTGCCGGCGGCGTTGACTAAGGAGGCGACGATGAAGGAGGTGTTGCAGAGTGATGGTAAGGCGAATGCGACGTGGGGGATGAATTCTAAGAGTAAGGCGGAGAGGGCGCGCAAGTATCTTGGGTGGGAGGCGGAGAGTAGGAGTTTGAGGGAGGATATTGCTGATACGGTTGCTTTTGAGGCGAAGAAGTTGGGGATTGAGCCGAAGGAGAAGAAGCAGTGAAGGATGTAGTACACCAGCAGTGTGAGTCAATGTTATTAGGATAATGCTTTCCAAACAACAATTTTGAATCAGATGGATGTTTGATTCCTATAAACAGGGGGAAGTTCACCCATCGGATAAACAGGAGATGAGGCATCTACTCTTCCTGGGCCTCCTCGTGATCAATGGCAAATACAACCGTCATCTCGACCTCGTTGCTCCAACCAGGGTGAAGACCCATTTCCTGCCACGCCTTCTCAATGTCAATCTCCAGGACGCAATCGTGGCTCTTGCTGAGGGACACCGTGTGAACCGGGATCACAGAGTTCTGGATGGTGACGAGGAAGTCATCCTCTATCGTCAACTCTGGTAGCTTCGAGATGTAAAGTCCTGTTTTTGTGTCTCGTCAGAAACTGTTCTCTGTCTTTTCCAAACGTCACATGTACTTACCAAAAACACCCAGCGCTTTGAGACGAGTCTTGAGCTCAACCTTTCCATCGTGCCGCAGCATGAAATCGCTGTTGAGTATGACCGCAGCGCCAGTCATTTTGCCCACCAGACCCAAGTTGGCGGTCCACACCTTGCCCCTGGTCTCGCTATCGAACCCGGAGAGCGGGTAGGCGGTGAAGATGTCATATCCGCGCACGTCCAGCGACACCGTCAAGGAAGACGCGGTCGAGCCGGAGGACACGGGCTTGCTGACCTTGCCCGACGAGTGCGCGCGGACGACGTAGCGCATAGAGGGCAGCACGCCGGAGAAGGCGGCGGCGAGCGGGATGATCTCCGTCAGGGGCCGCGCGGAGATGTTGAAGACGCCGAGGATCGGGGTGCCCGTCACGGCGGCGCCGTGGTAACTGCCAATCTTGAGCAGGCCGTCGTCGTCGTAGCCCGTGTACGGGTCAATGGTCTTGCCGACGACGCTGGGCCGGAAGATGACGGTCTTGCCGCGGATCGTGGGGCCCGTCATCTGCTTGATGAGGTCTAGGTCGTACTGCCCGGGGACGTCGGTGATGTAGATGGGTCCTCCGCTGACGCAGCGCGCCGCGGCGTGGAAGCCCGAATAGTCGTGAACGGTCTGGAACATGTCCCAGTCGGGCAGGATGTTGAGATGCTGCGTGAACAGACTGTTGTGGGCGTTCGTCCAGACGTGCCAGGGGTGGGAGGCTGGGATTTCGGGGAAGAAGTCGTCCGAGTTGCGGCATAGGATCGCCGGCCTGTGCCGTGGCATCTGGTTGTAGAACATGATCTGCGGCGTCTGCGACATGCAGGAGATGGTCTTGATGCTGAAGTGCCGGAGAGATGATATGGTCCAGGCGTCTAGGTAAGCGTCGATGAGCTCGCGGCGTGCGCTGGCCGAGACCCAGGTGTCAGTCATGAACTGGGCGTCCGTCTTCACGCCGTCGATGCCACAGTCGACGAGGAATTTGTAAAAGTCGTTGTAGAACCTGTCGACATCGTCTTTGTCGACTACGGTCATCTTGCCCCCGAGGGGCAGGTTGCGTCGCTCGGCATCCTCCCGGATCACTTCTATCGTCTTGTACTCTTTGGCAATCTTTCCATCCGGTGAAATGCCCGCCCAATAGCCTGCTTAAGTCAGTAATTGCTACACTTCGAAAGGTTACAACACGACTGACCTAGAAGAGCGTGCCACACAGCAATATGCTGGATATGCGGATGTTTTTGGCGAATGTGCGCCACGGTAGCCTTTAGGCCTTGAGGGAAAGCCTTCGGCTCGGCTTCAAACTCGCACCAACCATGCTGAAACTGGCCATGACCTCTGTAGTCAATTGTCTGCCAGTTGTCGTCAATGATGAGACTAGCGACTTTGATGTCATTCTCGGCTAGCTTGTCGACAGCATCAAAGACCTTTTCGTCTGTGAGACGTTGCCCAAGAGCATTCCAGGTGCCTATGAAGTGCGTCAGACGGAAACCAGGAAATGAGGGAGAGTCAGCAGTATGAATTTTCACAAAACTTACAGTATCCAAGTCCGTCGTACCAATTCTCCATCCACTCTGGTTTCACCCCTTCCTCGATAGCCTTCATTTCAGCCAACAGCTCGTCACTGGCCTTCTTCTCCTGAAGGATGTACTGTCTGGCTTGATACATCACACATGCATTTGCACTCTCGAAGTTGTCTCCTGTTCCGACTAAGATGGTAGCAGGTTCTGGCTTCGTGCTATCATTACGGGCCTGTGACCAGTAAGCTTTATATTCATCCAGTAGTATAGGGTCCAGCGACGCACGTGAACAGACAATTGCCCAGACTCGCCATGGCGGAACACGGGCATAACATGGTTGCCTCCGCTTACGGCGAGAAATACAAGATGTTTGCCCTCGGAGTTCAAAAATGAGCAGAGGACGCCGTCTTTGTCGAGATGGAACGAGTCTTTTCCATGGCGAGGAGCCAGCCAGGGCGTCCAGATACGGATAAGGGCAAACCACCTATTCTTGTCAGCATCCCACGCGGCTGGATGAAATTGGAACTAGGGAGAGAGTCCTCGAGACGAGTTTGAACTTGATGACCAGCGAATCCCCGATGGTCAGGCTTACCTTAGAAATCCTCCCCAAGGCACGCCTAGCGATATGTCGGCAAACTTCGACTCATCTCCATCAACAGCATCAATAGTAGCTTCAAGTGACCAAAGCCGAGTTCCAGGACATTGGCTCATCATTGACTTCACTTTCCATGCAGGGTTCAGACCAGACACCACGTCATCAATGCTTTCGGAAACAGTCTCAAGAATGGGTCTTGAGTTGAGCACCACAGTGCCATCACCAACTCCTAGCTCATCGCGAGTCCATCTCCATGGCTCATCTGACGAGTGTCGGAACTTGAGAGTGAACTGGAACGATGTCTTGAAAGAAACAGGGGCGGAATAGAAGAAACGTCGGACATCATCTGGGACAGCTTGCAAGGTCGTCGGGGCGTCTTCGTCGGCGATGCGAGCAAGAGTAGTTTCACTCCAGTCGGCTCCGTCACTCGAGTGCCACACCGCAACTTCCCAGGATTCACCCGCACGTGAAGCAGGTATCTGTAGGATTGCAGTGACAGGAAGACTCCCATTTGAGATCTGCGTATACTGACCGAGAGGTGGGTAGCTCTGGATGATGGCTTTCATGGTGTCGGTGATGGCTTCTGGGGCCGGTTTTTGCTTTGAGACGAAGAGAGACTGAAAGACTTCGGCAAAGTTGTAGTTGTCTGATGGCATCTTGATGTCATAGGGTTACAAAACCACGAGGGAAGTATGTGCAAGTGATGAGGCAATAGGTGATGAGTGTCTTATTGATGGTGAGTGAGAAGAGTAAGAGGCTTTTGCTCAGTTACTAAAGTTGAAATGCTGTAACATGCTCTCATCCTATATAGGAGTCTGTGAGACTGACACCTGCATTGAAGTCAAAATGGCAGTCCTGTGACCGACCTGCTGCACTAACAGCTCATCCCAAAGGTCTCAGCTGCACGACTGGGACTTGGGACTTGACAAAAGAGCGGCTGTCGCCTGGGCACAGGGCAGGATCCGCTTAATTGGCCAATTGGCACTTGCGGACAAAAGGGAAAGAAGAATGATTCATCGATTGGGAAGGGACGACTATGCGCCATGAAGCATTAACAGCAGACAACAAAAGACTTGTGATATGAAGTAGGCTCTTTCAACATCTTTGGGTCGATCTAGATTTGGCACAAAATAATATTTGTTTTCAGCTGCTTCCGGGGAAAATAAGTTAATGACAAAATATTAGATTGAACATACGGTGGATCTGGTGGTGCCAGGATACTGGGGCCGCAGATTAGTTACGTACCTCCTCTGATTGGCTCCAGTTGCTGGGCCGGGGCATTCCGGAAGCCGACTTCGCGCCTCGATTTCAAGGCACATACAGCCTTTCGAAAGGCGAAAGCTTTCTGAGCCGAAACCTCATCGAAAGATTTCATCAAACACCTCATATCACTCCCCATCCTCCACAACTCCGCCATGGCGTCCCGGAGACTAGCTTTGAACCTCTCGCAGGGGCTGCGAAGCCGGGCTGCTCTTTCCAGAGCGAGCCCAATTACCCGGGGCTTCGCCACGCCTTCCAACACCCCCTTTGGCAAGACTCAGACGACAACATTGAAGAATGGACTGACGGTACGCTATCCAATCCACCCATCCGATATGTGGCTCAATTGGCCTCGAAAACCGCGTCGCGAATTGCATCTGACAATTGAGATATAGGTCGCCACCGACTACTCGCCGTTCGCCCAGACCTCGACCGTTGGCGTGTGGATTGACGCCGGCTCAAGGGCTGAGACCGACGAGACCAATGGCACCGCACACTTCCTCGAGCACCTTGCCTTCAAGGTAGGCCAAACCGCGACGACAATGCGATGAGATACACCTGCTGATACGAATATTAGGGCACCACAAACCGGACGCAGCAGCAGCTCGAGCTCGAGATCGAGAACATGGGTGGTCACTTGAACGCCTACACCTCGGTTCGTTCCCGTCGACCGAAATCATCAAAATTTCCTCCCATTGACATTGAATTAGCGCGAAAACACCGTCTACTTCGCCAAGGCCTTCAATTCCGATGTTCCCCAGACCGTCGACATTCTTGCCGACATTCTTCAGAACTCCAAGCTCGAGGAGTCCGCCATCGAGCGTGAGCGCGATGTCATTCTCCGCGAGTCCGAGGAAGTCGAGAAGCAGATGGAGGAGGTTGTCTTCGACCACCTTCACGCTACCGCCTTCCAGCACCAGCCCCTCGGCCGCACCATCCTTGGTCCCCGCGAGAACATCCGTGACATCACCCGCACCGAGCTCACCAACTACATCAAGAACAACTACACTGCCGACCGCATGGTCCTTGTTGGCGCTGGTGGTATCCCCCACGAGAAGCTCGTCGAGCTTGCCGAGAAGAACTTCAGCGGCCTCCCGACTTCCGGCCCCCAGACCTCGGCCTACCTCCTGTCCAAGCAGAAGGCCGACTTCATCGGATCTGATGTCCGTGTTCGTGACGACAACATCCCCACCGCCAACATCGCCATTGCCGTTGAGGGTGTCAGCTGGAACGACGACGACTACTACACCGCCCTCGTCGCCCAGGCCATCGTCGGCAACTACGACAAGGCCATTGGCAACGCCGCTCACCAGGGCAGCAAGCTCAGCGGTTTCGTTCACAAGCACGGCATTGCCAACAGCTTCATGAGCTTCTCCACTAGCTACAGCGACACTGGGTAAGTAGCACCGACTCAGCTAGGGAGAACAATTGCTAACATATACTAGTCTCTGGGGTATCTATCTCGTCACCGACCAGCACGACCGCATCGACGATCTCGTCTACTTCGCCCAGCGCGAGTGGATGCGCCTGGCCCGCAACGTCAGCGAGGCCGAGACCGAGCGTGCCAAGGCTCAGCTCAAGGCCTCCATTCTCCTCTCTCTTGACGGCACCACCGCCATCGCTGAGGACATTGGTCGCCAGCTCGTCACCACCGGCCGCCGTGCCAACCCCGCCGAGATTGAGCGTACCATTGACGCCATTACCGAGAAGGATGTCATGGACTTTGCCAGCAGGAAGCTTTGGGACCAGGACATTGCCATCTCCGCCGTTGGAAGCATCGAGGGTCTCTTTGATTACTCCAGACTCAGGGCCACGATGAAGCCCAAGTACTAAATTTGTGGTTTTGGCGATTTCAGGGGAGATTAGGGTATAGAGTGTATGAGATACCGTTACAGGCAGGCTAGTGTATCATAAAGACTTCCCTTGTTCATATGTCTGTGACAACCGCAAGCTTAGCACCTTGACGACCTAATTTTACTATGTACTTTTGTAAGCAAACCAGCATCTTTGGTTCCTACCTGGATTCAGGTGAGCGCATTCCACTTACTTGCGGAGCATGGGATGAGGTCTCGCTCTGATTGTACCTAGACTTTTTACAGTCAGAAGACTGCTAGGAAACTGTGCCGCTTTCGTCTCAACGTTGATATATCCTGGATGAGATGAGAAGCGGAAGACACGGCCCGGCAGACGTTGTTATTGGTGCTAATGGTCTTGGTGACTGGAGTAATTTTAATCAGCTCGAGATGGCAGGATATCTTGGTCATCACTGGATGGCTAGAGCAAGGAAGAATAATCGTCCGGCGGAAACATCGAATGAGAAGGTTGAGCCACGGTTGAGTGTCCAGGCATCGCTATCTCCTTTCAGCAGAAGTTGAGGGTTTCCAGTTGGAGTAAACTCATGTTTTTCCTAGTCCTTAGCTTAAATTAGTAAGTAGAGATAGTGAGGTTAGATTGAGGTTGGACAGCTGTTCTCCCTATAATATCCTGTCTGTCATCTGGTTGGTTGTGCGGTTGTAGAGGAAGTGTTCTTGCCTAGGAAATACTCACTCAAGTAGAATTTGATCTAATCCTTGGAAGAGGGCAATTACCAGACACGTAGCTCCGATTCATATCCTGCTTCATTGGTACCCTCTTCTAGCGAGTCTTCAAAATGTATCGTCGTAATGGAATAGGTGCAAAAAAGGTGGATGGGCAAACGGGCCAAGAGAGGAAAACTACGCCAAGGGGCGGCGTCATTGCGCGGTCTGGATATACTTGTCACCATCTCAAAGACAGACAGACAGACAGACTACAAATATATGCTCAGCATCTCATTCCAAAAGAAGAGGTTTATCTTTTTTCTCTACATGTCCAATAACATTTTTGGTATAACTACATAAAATCATAAAATGCCCCCCCCCCCCCCCCCCCATCCCATTCATCCAATGTTCTTCATTTTTTGGTGGTGGTCAGCGTCAAACCGAATAATTTTTTATTTACGGTTCATGTGGTCGATGCGGATCTCGACAGCTCTGCGGTGAGCCTCCAGAGCCTCCGTCTTGGCGAGCTGCATGACGGACTCGCCGACGTTGCGCAGGCCCTCAGCCGTCAGGTTGGAGCTGGTGATGTGCTTCACAAAGGAGGCGAGGTTGACGCCCGAGTACTGCTTGGCGTATCCGTAGGTCGCTGTAATCGTCAGTTAGTCATGGAACATGTTAGATTGTGTGGGTGGGTGGGACTTACGCAAAGAGTGGTTGACACCAGCAGAGTAGTCGCCGACACTCTCGGGGGTCCACTCGCCGATGAAGACGGAGCCGGCGTTCATGACCTTCTCCGTCACCTTTTCGGCGTCGTTGATTTGAAGAATCAAGTGCTCGGGCGCGTAGTCGTTGCTGATGCGCATGGCCTCGTCCACGGTCTTGACCTGGATGGTGACCGAGTGGGCAATGGCGCCGCGGACAATGTCAACGCGAGGCAGAGCCATGGCCTGGTTGTGCAGCTCATCCTCGATAGCCTGGAGCTGCTGCTCGGTCAGGTCAATGGCAATGAGAATGACCTGGCTGTCGACGCCGTGCTCGGCCTGCGACAGCAGGTCGGACGCGACAAAGGCAGGGTTGGAGTCCTTATCGGCGATGACGAGGACCTCGGAGGGGCCGGCCGGCATGTCGATGCTGACGCCGGCGTTGGTGTCGTTGCTGACGTACATCTTGGCCGCTGTGACGAACTGGTTTCCGGGTCCGAGGATCTTGTCGACCTTTGTCACGCTCTCGGTGCCGTACGCCATGGCGGCGACGGCCTGGGCGCCTCCAGCGAGGACGATGCTCTCGGCGCCGACCTTGTGGGCGACGTAGACGATTTCAGGGGTGAGGCTGCCGTCGGCACGAGGAGGCGAGGCGAAGACGATCTTTTGGCAGCCGGCGACCATGGCGGGGACACCGAGCATGAGGGCAGTGGAAGGGAGAACGGCAGTACCGCCAGGGACGTAGAGGCCAACCCGCTCGATGGGACGAGAGAAGCGGCTGCATACCACGCCGGGCATGGTCTCGACCTTCAGGGGCTTGTCCTCCTTCTGAGCGGCGTGGAACTTGCGGATGTTCTCAAAAGAAATGTCGATGGCCTTGGTTGATTCGGGGGAGAGCTGCATGGCCTCCTTGGGGAAGGGTGCCTTGAGCACAGGAGAGGTGAGTGATGTGGCCTTCTCGAACTTGTGGGTGTAGGACAGAACAGCTTTGTCGCCTCCGTTGCGGACCTCGTCAATGATGGGCCTGACGATGTTCAGGATGGCGTCGGGGGACTTTTGTGACGGGCGCTTCAGAACCTCGTCAATCTCCGCGGCGGACGAGTTGGACAGGTCGAAGCGGCGCATCGATATTCTCTCAGACTTCTCTTCCTTTGCTGCCGGTGCCGGTGCCGGCGCCGGCGCCGCTGCAGGGGCAGGTGCTGTGGTAGTCTTGATGCCCTCCTTCTCAGCCCACTTGCCCTTGGCATCTCCCGTCCTCCTCTTGACCTTGAATGCCTTGGCATCCAAGTTTCTCTCAATGTCAGCGAGGCTAACACCGGCGCTGACGGCCTTTGTGAGAGCAAAGTAGATCAAGTCGGCAGCCTCAAAGGCAACCTCCTGAGGAGTCTTTGCGTCACAGAGCTCCTCGGCCTCCTCCATAATCTTGGCTCGCAGAAGCTTCTCGTCAGAGAACAAGCGAGCAGTGTAAGAGCCCGCAGGTGCGGACTTCTTGCGAGACTGCAACGTCTGCTCGAGTCTAGGGATGCCGTTCAGGTCACCGAAGCAGCCGTGCTGATCCAGGTGACAGAAGCCGCCAGTCTGCTTGACGACGAACTTGAGCGTGTCGTTGTCGCAGTCCAGGGCGATGCGGATGAGCTCCTGGGTGTCACCGGACGTGGCGCCCTTCACCCAGAGACCGCGCTTGCGGCTCTGATAGACACCGGCCCGGGTTCGCAAGGCCTCTCCGACGCTCTCTGCACTGCTATAGGCGAGGCCCATTGCGGTGCCAGACTCGTCACACACGACGGTGGGGATCAGGCCATCCGGGCGGTCCGACTTCCAGAATGAAGCAATGAGCTTGGAAAGGGGAAGCTTCTTGGACTCCTCCTTGCTGGCCGTCAGGCCGTCGGACGGCAGGACGGGGATGGCGTTGCACTGCTTAGCGATGTCGACAAAGTGCTCGAGGTTGCTCTCGGGCACGGGCTTGATGAATAGGTTCGGGAGCTTCTCCACCTTGCAGTGCTCGATGAAAGAGCCCAGGTTGCAGAGGGTAGGATCAAAGTCCTTGACCAGGACGGCGTGCTTGGAGGCGGGCTTCGTCGTGACATCATCGGTGGTGAGAATGGAGCCCACGCGGGATCCAAACTCCTCATACTGCGCGAGATTCTCGGGGGAGACGAAGACCATGCGGGCGCCGGCATCGAGAAGGGAGACGACATCGTCCTTTGCTGAAATGCCAGTGACGTCAAAGTAGCCACGGAACTCTGCGTTGTGCTGCTTCAGAAAGCTGTGAAACTTGTCCAGGGTCTGGTCATTGGCCTCGAAGAAGGGGGCTCCGAGAATCGAGACCTGCTCGCGATCGAGGCCATCTAACTTGGCCAGGCCGGGCGGGACGGCCACGCTGATCAGGAAAGGGAAGGGTAGTGTTGTCTCCATGGCCGCTCTTATTGTGTGTGTGTGTGTGTGTGTGTGTGTTCTTGGGTTATGAACGTTTGTGAGGGGGAGGGGTAATCTTGTATGCTCTCCTATCTCTCTCACACTCGCATGAAATTCAAAAGAGCCCGATGGGGTGTGTTGGACAGAAAAGAGGCAACTATAAGTGAGGAAGTTACCAAAAGGTTCAATTGAGGAAAGTGGAATGTCACTTGTTTATCGAACGAGATACGGTAGACAATCCACTGTGACTCAATTCATCCAGGGAAAGGGAACCGCCACTAAAATGTAAAAAAATCCTCAGAGTGTGACACCACCACTCTAACCATGTCCTGCATCGGCGGGTGTGGTGGTGGGGCAGAAGAATTACCACGCAGCAGATTCGGGAGTTGCCCCTCCATGCAAGTTTTTGGAGGTCATCCAATCCACGCCCTGCCGATTTGCCCGTCAGACACCCCAGTCCATGTGGAATTAAGCTATGGTCAGTGCGTCCGAATTATCAGCGTTGGAGCGGATCAACAGAAAGGCCGGTAAGGATTCGGAGCTGCCCTGTGAGTGTGAGGTGTAGACAGTTCAGGCCCTCAGTCGTCGACGCGACAAACGGGTAGCTCTTTCCGCGACCCAACCAGCCAACTCACTTCCTCACCTTGATACCCCCCGACTTTCCGGCGCCGCCTTCACATTCTACCCATCGCGAACCCTTACACACAATTTAACGAGCTACATCAATTTGTCTGGGTGATTTCTCAACATCACCCGTCCATCCATCTACACACCACCGGCAGCCACCATTTAGTCGCGTGGACTGTCGACAATCCTCGAACGGTGTCGCAAAGGGGAGATGCCAGTCTCCCATCAAACCGCATAACGCACTTCATAGCAAGATAACACTATACGAGCCACGAACACGACACCGCGATCATGGCCTCACAATCCGCTGACCCGCAAACCAACGGCGTCCCCGCCTCCTCGGGCGCCTCAGCCTCACAAACCGCACCAAACACCCAAGCAACAGCAACGACACCAGCAGCAGGCGGCTCCCAACCCCCATCCCAAACCCAACCGACCCAGTCCTCATCCACCCAACAAACCTCACAGCCGTCACAACAAAATGCCCAGCAACAGCCAGGGCAACAACAACAGCAGCAACAACAATCAACACCCCTAGCCCCCAACGCCTCGGCCCCGCGACCCCGCGACTCCCGCATGATAGAGCTCCTCCTCACCTCCCAGGGCGTAACCTCGTACGAGTCCCGCGTGCCCCTCCTCCTCCTCGACTTCGCCTACCGCCACACCTCGAGCATCCTCTCCGACGCAATCTACCTCTCGGCGGACCCCTACACCTCCCAAGCTGGCAGCAAGGCCTCGGGCGGCGGCGGTGGCGGCGGCGGCGGCGCGGGCTCGATCCCCGGCGCGGTGGGCGACGCCGCCGTCTCGGCCAACGCCGTCAAACTCGCCATCGCCGCTAGGCTGGGCTACCAGTTCCGCGGGGGCGGCGGCGCCGGCGGCGTCAGCAAGGACTGGCTGCAGGAGCTCGCGCGCGAGCGCAACAAGACGGCGCTGCCCAAGGTCGCGCAGAACGAGTGGGGGCTTAGGTTGCCCAGCGAGCGTTTTGTTCTCAGCGGCGTCAGCTGGGGTCTCAAGGAGGCGTGGGAGGAGGCGGGTATGGACGAGGACGAGGACGAGGACGACGAGGATGGTGCTGCTGGGCCCGGCGCCGGCGGTGAGGGGGCGATGGAGGGCGTCGAGGCGACGAATGCGACGGCGGATGAGGATATCGGCGGTGATGGCGTCGAGGGCGGCACGATGGAGGATGTGTTTGGCAAGGACGTGGACGAGGATGCAGAGATGGAGGGCACTTCTTAGGACTCGGGCCACTCGGTGAAATCGGAGCACTCCGGGTCCACGATGGGACAGATACCTCAATGGCAAGATGAATGAGGGGGATTGGCCGTTAACGGCGACCAAAAAATACCCTGGTTTAGGGGCTTATTATGGAACAGAGCATTAGGATTTGAAGCCCGGGTGGCCATGGGCGCGCACTTTGGGGAAGAGGGGCAATGTGGTCGATTAGGCGGGCAATTGCACATTACTTTTAGGCAAGGTTCGGAGAAGAGATGGTCACGGAGCTCATCAACCTGGAAAGCTCTTTTGAGATTCAAATCCGTATCATTCTGGAAGTGAGCTCAAAAGAACGACTCCGCCCATATCATAAGTAAGCTGGGGCCAAAATTCGATGCATGCTTAGTCTGCGGTAGAGTTGAATCAAGACAATCACCAGTATCATGAGTAACTCACGAGTGTCATGAACCAGAATCGTAACAGAGTTGAGTGATAGTGTGTCCTTTTTCAAGGCTCACTATTGAATAAAGTACCAAAGTCTAAACGCCTTTCGCTATGCAAACGCATCACTTCCCTCCCTTAAACCGAAACCCAAAACCCGCCAACCATGCTCGTAACCACCAAGCCGCCGTCTAGAAACTCCCGGGTACAAGAAGAAGCGCATCGACACGGAGATGTTAGTTCGCACCTGCTTTAACATTAGGATTGTAAACCGAAGCCTGTTCCTCCTTTTTAGCACACTATTTCTGCACACCTTTTTCAAGGGCGAGATGATTTACCCCAGTGATCAACTCGGCGCCAATGTCTTCCACAAGCATCATTTGTGCCGGCGTGGAAGACTTGGTTTCCTTGCTAATGGGCTGAGGAGTTCGCTCGCGTTGTTTCCGCACTTCGAGCTCAGCCATTTCGTCTTCTTCGTCGTCCTCGTCGTCTTCGGCTTCTTCATCGTCGGCGTCGTCGTCCTCCATGATGGAGGCGGCCAGCTGGTCATCGCCGTCGATGCTTCCACTGAGGATGCTTTCGCGTTCGTCACCGTAATCGTCGACCGAGTCTCGGGAAATGTAGCTCTGTCCCATCTCATCACCAATCTCCTCGTCATCATCGACATCTTCTTCCAGATCAGCTTGCTCATTATCGTCATCTGTGTCGCTCGCAGAGAATTCATCCAAATCCAACGGAGTATCTCTCCAGTATGAGAAATCCGTGTACTCTTCTCCACCACCCTTGACCAGAGTGCTGACGGGTGGGAAGAAGTGATCTACAACCTCATTGATGTTGATATAACTCAGCTTGAGTTTGTTCAACGTGAGCAAGTCGAGGGAGACCTCAGCATTGGAGTTGATGGTAAAGATACGTTTCTTAGGAACATCCACTGTCCTGTACGAGATCTGGTCCGTGAGACGGTTTCCAAATCCAGCAAAGAATGGTGTCCGATCAGGGCCGTACAAATTTCGGATATCCCGAAGTGTGGCCATCTTGAAAACCTCGGGTTTCCTAAGGTAGACCTCACGGCGGAGGGCGGCCATGGTCCGATCCGGGGACAAGATGGTAGGGCCCCGCGGCACTCGGTATTCTCCCTGCTGAATACCGGCGAGATAAGCCCTGGTCGTATCGGACTGACCCACTGATCGACTGGTCAGGTACATGATGTTGTACCCGTTTGCGACAATGTCACTGTAGAGTTTCGCGACTCCGGCGTGCGTCCAGTCACGGCCAATCATGTTGAGAACGTGGCCCAGGGCATCCGACTTGGTAATCGTGCCGTCAATGTCTGAGATGACAACGGGCGTCTCATGCCTCCACAGGTACATGTTGGCCTGGCACGTTGCCCTGTTGACGGTGAAGCTCATGGTGTTCTCTCCAGGCTTCAGACACAGGTCTTTCAGCTGATCACTAGTCAACCGCAGCGTCTTTGCGTAATTCAAATTCGGGTCACCAGCCGTCGAATGAGGAGGCGTAGTGGGAGGAGTGTGTAGGCCAGAAGCACCGGCGTCTGACTCGGTCCTGCGGTGGTTCGGAGGAGGCACGGTGGTGGTAACATCGCTACCGTCGCTCTGGTACCCAGGGTCAGACGCAGCATCCGCCGCAATGACGGAATGAAGGCGGTAGCCAGCTTCCATGGTCTTCTTCTTCGCAGCCTCTTTGGCCTCCTCGCTGCTGTAGATCCAGATATTTCCGTGCTCGTCCATACCAAAAAGTGAACCAATGTCATATGGGCCCTCGAGCTCCTCGGAGAGAATCTTTCGCGCAAGAATCTCGGCACGGAATATATCTTCTTCGTTGCTCTTGAAACCAGTCATATCAAGCATAAGGTCGCCGCTCTCGGTCACATGGCTGGGGATGTTGTTGGCTGACAGCTCCTTGGAGAGCATGAGAGCCCGTTCGAGCGCTTCCTTGGGTGCCAACGGAGGAGGGCTTTGTGATCGCTCGGACATGGCAAAATCGGTAAGGCCTTCGCCGAATACTCGGTCGCTCGTTCGAGCTGATTTACGTAGGACATCATCGCTGTAAGGGCGCTGGGCGGCTGAGGAATCCCAGTCTTCCGATCTCAGTCGTGCGTGGGATGAAAGGTCGGGGGATGTGGATAGAGGCGTGTCCAGCCCTACAACAGTTAGCATTTGCTGCCTCATAGAAGATCAATAAGGGTAGGGCAAGTGAGGAACAAACCATGGGGTCCGGGTCCGAATGTTGCAGCGTGAAGGACAGATGGAGGCGGTCGTCGAGGTTTGGAAGCCTCGGAATCCAGGTCCAGCAGCTCTGGCTCGCCGAGTCCAGGTGAAGAGGGGTTCTCCGGGTTCAAGGGAGGGCTTGACGCTGGGGAGACCAAGGGCGAAGTCTGCAGATCCCTCGGGATAGTATCGCTCGTCTCGAAGACGAAGAAGGCCTCTCCCTCCTCGCCGAGTTTCATGGAATAGGGTTGTTTGACTCCGTTGACCTTGAATTCAACCTTCTTCTCGTAGGGCCTCAACAAAGAGAACTTTCCGAAGCGCACGTGAAAGGGCGAACAGTTGAGAGAGCCGTCTTCCCGCTCAATGACGATGACATCGATGGCGCCACTGAGGGTTGCCGGGTTTATGGAGTTCCATGTCGAAGAGACGGAGGCGCTGAGATTCCGTACGTACTGCATTGTGACTGAGGAGTTGTGTCGCTGTTCGCGACAGGTTGGAGGGCGGGTATCTTGAAAGCAGGCGAGCCAGGACGTAGAGACACAAACAACAGCAGGTGACTTTCCAGGACGAGGTGTTGCAGTCTTTCGAACCTCAGGCAAGGCCGGTAATCGGGTAGCTGGGTTGAGCTGTGCCGCGAGGTGTGCGGAGGCGAAAGCGTAATTGTTGGGGAAGCTCGTGGATGGTTATTATTGGGATGCAGGGGACGAGGGTGGGAAGGGAAGTGGGAGGGGCGAGAGAAAGAGAGCGACAGTGATGTGTGAGTGAGTCGATGGAGGCTGACTGAGTTCGAGAGATGCGCGCGCGCAGAGCAAGGGAGCGGAAGGGGGTTAAATGTGGCCGTTCGTTTGTTCGTGAGGGATGGTTCGAGCCGAGAGTCTCACGGATAGAAGGGACGCCTGTTGAAGTCGAAGAGAATAGGTACAGTGAATCACGATTAAAGTTTGGGGTTTCGCGGGGTCGGAGGCGAAGGGGAGAAGGACAGGAACGGCTTGGGAGAGAGAGAAAGAGGATCAAGCAACCTTTCCTCCGTACATATGTACTCCGTATGTGCCCGCGCTCAGCAGTTCGGAGAGGATGGGATGGTGCAAAGATGACGAAGCTGAATCCTTTTGGGGAAGGACGACTATTCGTAGAACGGCAGCACCTGCAGCAGTGAGTTAAGGTAGTACCATAGGCCGGTGGAGCTAAGAGGAAAGGCGGCGGCGGGCGGCGCTCGCGGGCGATCCTGAGGAGCGACCTGGACGGGAGTGTGAGGGTGAGGTACTCCGTACGGGGGGGGGACAGCACCTGGAGCGGACAGGGGCGGCAACCCCTGCTTGTTGTTCGCTAGGCCCAACAAGCTACGGCAGGCCAAGGCTGCCCTTTTTTTTTCCTTCGCCCGCCTTACCTAACGCTGGGCTGCCGCGGATCATGTGAAGGTGGACATTGCATCTGCCCAGCAAAAGGGGAGACCACATATCATCACCATGACCAGAGGGGAAAAAAAGATTTCAACCCCCAAAGGACAACCCCCGGACCACTTTCACCGTTTGGGGGGCAGCGCCACAGCCAACCCACCCCAATGGAAAAACAACCCCTGGTCGGCCCTCAGGACTACCGCGGCGCACTCACAATCTCGCTGGCATGGACCGCATCTCACCGGGCTCAGGTTCGAAAGAGGGACCATGGACGCTAACATGGCCGCCATTGCCGGCATTAGGAGAACCGGGCGAGGACGATGAGCTGGTCTGGCATTCCGTGGCACGAGGAAAAAAGGCCCTGTGGGCTTGACTTACATGAGCTAAGCCGAGGCCCTTTACCTACCTTACTCACTCAAGTGGCATGCCTGGGTAATTACCCACTAGTTATCCGTAGTAGAAGAATCCATTTCTGCAAGTCCACGTTCAATTTATTAGGCGCAAGAAAGAAGTTCAAATATATTTTTGCTCAGGTGTCATACCTCCACATGTCCGTGCCTACTCGTTCCTATCTCAACTTCTTCCTCCAAAGGTGAACATCAGGGCCGAAACACACAACACCAACATCCTCAGCACCAACATCTCCTATTTAATTGTCCGCCCTACGGATACCTCACGGAAACACCCATTACTTACACAGCCGTCAGCGAGCAACCCTCGTACTTTGCATACTATGTACAGTGACTACGACGGGACACTCCACACTCCACACTCCCACTCCCCTAAACCGGGCCACCCGCCTGACTCGGCGGTGTAACTAAAAGTACCCGTGACACTTTTTTTTTTCCTTCTCTCGTTTGCTGGTTCATTTCCTTCTGGGGACAGAGTTCGTCGCTCTTTCTCCTCCCCCCCCCCTCATCAAATGAAAGAAGAAAAAAAGAGGGAAAACAGTCCAGTCAGATTTCTCTATTTGTCTGCTGATGTCATAACCCAAAAAATTACCCCTCCATCTCCCAGACTTCTCTGACCGATTCTCCTTGACCCGATAATACACATGGCCAGACGAAACCCGTTCTTCTTTCTCCCCCTCTAACCCCCCCCCCCCCCCGCCATTTCTGTCACTATAACTCAAAATCCTCCTCCTCCGTCATATCTTCATCACCCGGGCATTTTTCTCCGTTCGTTACCAGCCAAGATGGATTTCTGCTCCAGGTCTACTTGGTGGCACCCGCCAAAGAGCCGAGGTCACCTGTGCAAAAAGTGATGTGGGCGCATGAATCACAACCCATGCTTTCCCTATTTTCCCTCTTCCCCTTTGTCTTTTCCTCTTTTCTCTATAAAAACGTTCTCCATAAAAAAGAAAACAGGAGAGGTTTCTCGGGTATCCGTACGGAAAGTACGTATCAAAGGGGAAAATCTCAGTCAAGGCCCTCCCTCCCATGTGGCCTTTTTTGGTGTGTGTGCGTTCATCCAATCCCGATTTAGACAATTTCTTTCCACGCGGCCAATGTCCTGGGCTGTCTCTGGACCCAGACACAGTGTGCAGTTTGCAAGTCAGGCATACCTACCCGTGCTACCTTACCCAAACCTTGCGGTGAATCTAACCTAAGGAATTTAGATGCCCCTAAGATCTGGTTCCGGAATGCTTGGCAACGGCGCAAGGCAAGTGTAATCTTCCGCCCTGCATTTGTTCCACGCCTCCCATCTGCATTTCTCTTGGTTGGCTGCCCTGGAGACACCATTTGACCAAAGGGACTGTTTGGGTATTCCCGACATAACAAGAAGCAGATCTTGAGTGGAAATGAAGCATTCATGTCACGGGAACGGAGCTAGCAACCATACAAAGTACTTGGATGGCTTGAGTCTGCCAAAGAAGCAATCGGTTGCTAGGGCACGAGAGCATTCTTCACTCATTTCCAATCTCAGTTTGGCAATGAATCAATACTTTTATATATGCTTCAGAATTTCGAAGCAGCACGACTTATTGTGCAACCCTTTGGCCCATAAGCCCCGGATAGTTTATCAAAACCCCCGCGGTTCGGTCGTAAACGCCAATCATCCCATGTCATTACGCTTTACATATTCACTCAATCTCCAACATGGCGGGGGCCTTGACTTCCTTGCCGCTGAGTTTCTCCAGTCCCTCGCCGCCCTGTGAAAAACAATGATTAGCATCCGCGTCTTTACATCATGTAAAGAAAAGAATGACTTACGTAGCTGAAAAGAGGGGAGACTTCGACTCCATCCTCCTGGCTCGCACCGGTGACCACGGCACCGGCGGCCTCGAGCCAACGCTTGCCCTGAAGCATAATGTCACGCTTGCTGGTGTCGGGGTCATCCTCTCCCGTGCCGCGGGCATTCTTAAGCGGCGAGAACTCGTCCTCGCGCTTCACCTCCATGGAGGCGAACTTGCTGAGATCCAGCATGGGGAAGACGTCAAAGACGAACTGCTCCAGCTTGATACCGTTAGGCTTCTCGGGCTTGACAGTCTCGCCGGACTTGAGGTCGGCATAGGGGATCTTCTTGCGCGCAATGTGGTGGGGCAGCTTGTGCGCCCACTGGGGAATGCTCTCGAGGAAGCGGAAAGAGTAGTAGTGGTTGACAATGTTGGCGGCACGGAACTTGAGGACTCCGGGCTGCTTAGCGTCCTGTGCTTCGGCGGTCTCCGTGTCAATCTCGGAGTACTCGACGACGTCTGGCTTGCCGTTCTTGAGCAGAATCAAACCGACAGACTCGGTGGCATTGCGCTTCCGCACCACCTTGGTGGTGATGTCGACATCCTTGGACGCCGAGAAACCAATGAAGACAGGGTCGGCAACCTTGACGAGGCAGTTGTCGACGCAGTATGCGTGAATGTGCTCAATGCCTCTCTTGCGCATATCGCCCATGACGTCTGACACAACCAGCGCCTGGTAGATACCTCCGTTGCCATCAGGTGCAACGGCAACCTTGCCCTTGGACTCGAGCAGAATCTTGCCCTCGTTCGAGATGCAAGGCAACACACCCTGCTCAAAGATGAAGACGTTGGCCTTGTCCAGGCCAAAGTAGTTGTTCTCCTGGAAGTACTTCTCCGTGGGGCCGCGAGTGGGGCCGGAGGTCATGACGTACCACGGCACGACAGCGCTGCTGGTACCGGCCTTCTTGGCGGCAAGCTCCTGGACCTTGCGAATACGCTCTGCCTGGATCTGGAAGAGCGACTTCTGGCTGGGAAGGCCGATATCGTAGCAGCCCTTGGGTGCTGAGCTGCCCAGTCTGGTGCCCTGACCGCCAGCCATCAGCACAACGGCCACCTTATTCTGTCCGATCAGTTCGAGACCCGACTGGTACCACTTCTCAATGTCTTCGGTCTTGGAGTCGAGGATACTGGCGGTGGCAGACTCGGGCAGGGGCTCGAGGCCGGACTGGGTGGATGCATCTTCGGTCTTGGGAGGGTTCAGAGCACGGTCGGTGATCTTGTTGATGTGCTCGGGGTCGAAGCCAGACAGTTGCTCGAAGAGGGTTGCCTTCTCGGAGGTAGGAAGGTCATCGTAGAAAGTGAAGACATGATCTTGTCCAGCGCTCGCGTACTTCTCCTTCAGCTGAGCAAGCTGCTCGGCAGAGGGTTCGGTGGCGGCAGGCTTGTTGGAGCCAATGTTAAGAGCGGACTTGATGGCTTCCATGATGGGCCAGGCGGATATCGCGGTAGAAAAGCTTTCGAGCACGGCAATTGGAGCTGTAGAATAATCAGGAAACGAGCTGATTTGATAAACACGACAGTTTCAACGTGGAAATAAATAGGAGAAGCAAAAGGCGGAGTGGAAGTAAACAAGTAAGGTCGCCAGGAGGATAGCTCACCTTACTTGTAGTCCCCGCCGAGGACCCCTCAATGGTCCAAATATAGTGCTGGAGTGGGAGCTGCTTGCTGGGATGACAAGGTACCCGCCAATTGCCCGGTACGATGGATTGGACAAGTCGGGTTGCTTTCAGACTTGGTGGGTTGGAACCCCCCTCATTCCAAGGCCGCGAGACGTCTTCAGTGCATGATAGGTCGCTTTCGGCTGGCTGCCCCTCACTCCAACTCG